TTTTTGGTACCAGGGATCAAACACAGGACCTTGGGCTTGCGAGGCAGGAAGCAGAACCACTGGGTTATATCCCCAGCCCCTGTTCTCACTTTTTTAAAAAAAGCAATTCATTCCTCTTTAAGTCATTGCCAAGGGTGAAGGAATTGTACACCTTACTCATCCTTGTAAGCCTTTTTGGTGCATGCGTTATTTTCAGCACTTTATGAAACCAAACATTAAATCTGTGAGTCTATATTAAGTTCTTAGAGGTTTAGATATTTAAAGCCAGGGAAATTTTAGTTTTGAGCCTACTACTTATTCCAGAACTTGAATTGTTTTTTGATTGTAAAAACCCTCTGATGGCTTTTCCCCCTCTCTGATGGTTTTTAAAAGAATTAAATAAAAAGTTGCCGAAGTAATAGTATTTTATAGAAATAAAATCTTTTCCATTCCATTCTAATAGGAGACTAATTTTTTAAGGAGGTGAATTGGCCAAATATGTCTTACCCAAGCAGAGCACATACTGCTTTGGCATAAGCCATTTCATCCATCTTGTTTTCTGTTCCAAGAGGATATGAGAATTTGAATAAACATTTAAAGCCTTATTGCTTTATCTTAATGTTAAGTGGCTCCTTTAAGGCCTGGATGGTGACTGAACTTTTGTGTGAACTGCATGGAAAATACAAAAGTTTTGGACCGGGGATTTAGCTCTGTGATACCATGCCTGCCTCGCAAGCACAAGGCCCTGAGTTCAATCCCTGTAACAACAACAACAACAAAAAGTTTTAGAGCACAATGTTTACCTGGATTGGTCCCCTCACGGATTTCCTTTGGTTTTTTTACTCTAAGGGTCCATCCTGGTAGAACTTTCCAATCTTTCCTTGTTCCCTCTCTCCTGACCCAGATGATTTATGCTTGTTTTACCCTTTTGCTTTTCTGTTTGCTTTTACTGTGTTGATTCCCCAGTGGATTCTGTCCTGTTGGCACTTTGGCTTCCTGTTTAACAAACTCTTCCTCTCTCCCTGGCTGTGTTACTTGGCGTCTTCCCTGGTGTCTAGCTCCCCCATTTTCCACGGCTGTGTGAATGAGCGCCTTGCCGACCGCACACCCTCCCCCACTTTTTCCACGGCCGACTCCGACATCACTGAGCTGGCTGACGAGCAGCAAGATGAAATGGAGGACTTTGATGATGAGGCATTCGTGGATGACACCGGCTCTGACGCAGGGACGGAGGAGGGATCAGATCTCTTCAGTGATGGGCATGACCCGTTTTACGACAGATCCCCTTGGTTCATTTTAGTGGGAAGGTTGGTGAGGTTATTGTGAGAAAGGCAAAAAGGGACCAGCTCTTGCTCTAAAGGCCTCTTTGTGCCATTTTGGATAATCTTGCCTTAGCCAATTTGATCAGTGACTGCTTATCTGACATCCTCCAGTGCTGGGTACACTGAATGCTGGTGTGGCCAGAGGTGCAGCAGGCAGTGATGTGTGAGGACTCCATGGGGACGTCCCGTGTCCTAAACCACCCAGTACTTGTGTTTGGAAGCAGAAAGCCCCAAAGAAGAAAGTAATTAAAGGGTCCAACCAGTGGTATTGTGGTCTCCATGCTTCCTCTGTAAAGGATGTGACAGAGGAAGCAGGTGGGGTTGGCAGGTAGGGAAAGAGCAGGGCAGGTCCAGGGTGAGGCCCAGGAGTCTGTGGGCTACAGGGGACTGAGGACCAGTGGTAGGTTTAGTTTCTGCTTGGCCCAAGTCCTGAGAAGAATCAGAAAGTCAAAGTCTGTGTCCCCCTCCCCCATCTCCACTGGTTGTCTTTCTGTCCAGTGCCACCAGCCTATCTGTAAGTCCTTCACTTCAGCCAGAATTTTGCTTGAAGGCTTTATCATAATAAGCCTCTGGAAATCATCTGTTGACACCACCAACAGGGGATATTTGTTCTGCACTACATGAAGCTGCTTTGTCCCAAGCTCACCAAACAGGCATTGTCTCTGGCCTCCATTTGTTCGTCGCTATCAGTGATAACAGAACTCTCCAGGCCTGTATTCGTGCCTCACCCAACCTGAAGTAATTCCAACTCCAAGGATGGCTGCAGAGCACTCACCAAATTCACCAAGATTATGTCCAGGCTTAAAGTATAATATTTAAACCAGGCATGGTTATACCTGCAATCCCAGCGTTCTTGGGAGGCCAAGGCAAGAGGATTGAAAATTTAAGCCCAGCCTGGGCAACTTAGTGACTTAATGAGACCCCGTCTCAAAATTTTAAAAAGGATTAAGGATGTAGCTCAGTGTGAAAGCTCTGGGTTTAATCTCCACTACCCCCCAAAAAAAGTTATAAAATTTAACTGTAATGGTAGATTGGAACCACATATTGTTGAACCCTTTAAAAATAAGGGAATTTGGGCCAGGGGTTTAGCTCAGTGACACGGCACCATGCCTACCTTGCAAGCACAAGGTTCTAAGTTCATCCCTGGTCCAATAAATAAACAAACAAACAAAATAAGAGAATTACGTAATCCTAGCACTCAGGATTCTGCTGAGGCATGAGGATTAGCACGAGTTGAAGGCCAGCCTGAACTATATACTGAGACCCTGTTTCAAAAAAGAAAGAATAAAAATAAGAGAATTATAGCCAGGTGTGATGGTGCACGCCTATAATCCCAGCACTTGGGAGGCTGAGGCAGGAGGATTGCCAAGAGTTTGAGTCCAGCCTGCACTGCATAGTGAATTCAAGCCCAGGCTGAGCTATGTAGTGAGACCTTGTTTCACAAAACCTGAATAAATAAATAAAATAAGGGAATTGTATCACTTTCAAATGGTTAAGACCACTTATCTGAAAATAAAAGTACAGTGAATCTCCTGACCCAGTTGAGACCTGGGTTCCAAAATTTAGCTCATGACATTGTATTAACCAACTCATGCAGCTTCATTATTAGTAGTAAAGATCCTGATAAGGAGGAAAGAAAAGTTTTTTGATACAAATAAAAACACCTCAGTTATAACTTTGAGCCATAATATTATACAGTTTCTGGGTTTCATAGTAGGGAAAGGACATTTAGAACTCAGTTTCTCCATGAATAGATACAACAGGATCAGACAGCTAGGAACCTGGGGATTCAACTCAGTGGCTCCACACCTGCCTGGCAAGCGTGAGGTTCTGAGTTCAATTCCCAGTACCAAAAAGATATGCATATATATTTTAAAAAATCAGACAGCTGTGAATATTGTTTTCTCCTAATGTATCTCTGACTAGATGGTTAGGATTTCAGAGAAACTGAATTTTTAAAAATTGAGGACAGTATATACAGATAACATGACAGTAATTCTTTGAGACTTACAGCTCTGTGTACCTGCGGGGGGCCTGGAAGTTAGAACCCAGTAAACTGTTGTATCCTGTCACACCGTAAGAACCCTGACCTAACTGTGAGGAGAAGCCTCGGGTCTGTGATATTTTCTGTCACTAAGTTAGGACAAGCAACTCGAATTGAGGCCTTTTGGATACTCAAGCATAAATGAGTTGAGAAAAGAGGTTTAAAGATGTTTTCCACCTTTCATGTTCTGCTCTGCACACTAGCAAAATGAATATCCCAGCTAAGCCTTCTACTTAGAAGCATTTGTGTTTTTGAGTAAGTTGTATGGAAAACTGAAATCAGAACTTTAATGTGGAAATTGACTGGTTTATGACACATATTATTTTTTAGTCTAGTTTTATTCCTTTGTGTCGTATTAGATTTAGGTACAGGAATAAACCAATCCTATCTAATTTTGATTTTCACATAAAATATTTGTGGCACTGTGGCTCAGAAATTGATCTTTCCGTTATTTGGGTTCCCAGAGTCTAGAACTCCCTTTGCCTTGTAAGAGACTGGGGGCCTAAGGACAGCTTGGTGGCAGAGCTTGTGCTTAATGTGCTTAAGGTTCTGGGTTTGATCTCCAGCTCCAACAAAAATGAGAAAAAGCCTGGGGAGGTGAAATCGCAGCAGTCAGTAAAACAAAGGCTAGTTCTCCCTGTTGCCTCAACTGCTTTTCCGGGTAACAGTGCCCCAGCGCCTGCTCATTTAGCGGTCACTGGGTAGAGAAGCGGGTGACTTATTTCCTGTTGGTCTGATTTACAGGGTTGGATTTCCCCTACTGGCACATAATGGCAAATACGATTCACTTGTAAAAATTCCTGTGTTTCCTACAAAGTTCCATTTGTAAGTTTGTTTCTTGGCTGTTGCTGCCCCTGGCTAATCTTTACATTGAGATTAAAAGAGCTTGTCCCTTTAGCTGTTCTCTTACTGGCGTGCTGGGATGTTATGATCCATCATAACATGACATGAGATGTAAAATATGTAAGCTAGGCTTCTGGGGGCAAAGAGTGATTATTCTGGGGCCTCACTAAGTACCTCAGCTGACATTCTTTCTGTAAGTGTTGCCACAGTTGTGCTGATTTTTCTTATCTTTATGTTGACAAATTTGTTTCACTTTTTGATGTAACTTCACAGAACTCTGCTAATATATCCTTTACGTCTTCTCCCTCTTTATCCCTGTTCTCCTTCAGTCTGCTAGGTCAAAGTATAAGAACTTTCAAAAGTGCTGTAATTATGAAAATTCCATTTTAAAAAGATACAAAGGAGAACTTTTCTACAGCATTGCTTTGGGCTCAGGGCTGTATTCCGATATGACCAGGGGCTTTCTAGGGAGTGTGTGGCTGTGTATCACAGAACTGATGCCTTGCTCCTGCTGTAGAATTACAGATCTTCTTTTCTGTAAAAGGAAATCTACAGGAATGCCTTCATGCTTCCTGTGTGGAATAGTTATCACCATGGGCAGAAAAGAAATTTCCATGTTTAATGTATGCTCTGGCCTGACTTTATCACAGTGTGCCTGTGACTGTGAGAAGCTCTCCTAAAGAACAGTGAGTGGCTGCTGTTTTTAATAGCTATTTAAAGTAATAAATTAAGTAGAGTTAAAGTTAATATTCATCATGAGTTTCGTTTTGGTAAATCAGCTGGGTAATAATTTAGATGGCTTTGCTCTCTGCTTCTGATGTAACCTGTTTTTCTGGAAAATCTCCCACTTCTACTTGAAGATAGAGGACAGATTGCTATCCTAGTCTCTCCTAGGCACAGAGTTGTTCATGTACCAGACACTTGCTGAGTATATTTACCATATGTCTGCACTCGCTGCAGACAGTGGTGAGCAAAACCAAAGCTGATTCCGTCCTGCACACACTTAGTCTGGTGGGTGACACAGGCCCAAAGTACACAAATAATCACACAAAGGCGGGCCAAGGATTTATAGCTCAGTGGCACCATACCTGCCTCATAAGTGCAAGGTCCTGAGTTCGATCCCTGGTACTAAATAATAGTAGTGATAATAATAATAAAATAATAATAATAATACAAAGGTCAATTATAGCAATGGTGAAAGAATTGTGTGTGCTGTTCAGGTTGTATGACCTTGGGGGGACTTGTTATGAAGTGGGGTGGTCAGAATAAGAGATCAAAGGCACGAGGTAGGCAGTGAATGCAGAGAGGACTCCAGACAGGAGATGCAAACGATGGCTCTTAACAGCCCAGGCATCAAAGTGGACAGCTCTGGCTGGAGGGCCATTGCAAGAGTGGTCTTTGCAGCCGGCTGTGATGGCACTTGCCTGTAATTCCAGCACTCAGGAGGCTGCAGCCAACCTTGGCTACATAGCAAGCCAAAACAAGACTTTCTAATCAGCAAAGTACACACATGTGTGTTGACTGTGGAGGTGAAATTGTCCATTTGGTTTCGTGGGCCAAATTCTTAGGTTTTAACTGTTGTAGGTATGTGATAGTCTTGTTTGTAACCCTTTTTAGATTACACTTTCATTTCTAAATTTTTGTACAACATAGCTTTAACCCTCCATCTTTTAGCATTGCTCCTTCTTCCACTTTGGAGCAGACTGAAAGGGAAGTAGACATCTTGATCTAATTTAATGTTCACTTGTGGTTATTTTTGTTTTATTTTTCATTCATATTTCATTTCTGTTTTAAACTTATATTAACATTTGTTTTCCTGTGATGCATTTTTTCTATTTTCACTATTCTGAGTTGAAATCCGAAGTATCCACTCCTTCCTTCTCTCTTTGTTAGAAAGTAAATTTCAGAGCAGGAGAAACAGCAGACAGGCTGTGTCTCACATTCATTTGTGTTTGATATCCTGTCGTGTTTCCTTTGTCTTTGCTGTATGTTCAAAGACCAGCATATGCCAAGTTGAAAGATGAGAGTAACAATGGAAACTAGATTCTCTTTCCTTTCTATTCATTAGAATGAACCCTCTCAAACTTTGTGATCACCATTTTATTGCTTTTAAAAATTATGCTGAGGGCCACGGATTTAGCTTAGTGGCACTGTACCGATCTGGCAAGTGCAAGGTCCTGAGTTCAGTTCCCAGTACCAAAAAAAAAAAAAAAAAAGAATGCCTACAAAACAATGAAAGAAAAAAATGAAAATATGAGCCAGTCATGGTGGCCTGTACCTTGAATCCCAGCACTCTGGGAGGCTGAGGTAGGAATATCACAAGTTTGAATCCAGTCTTGGCACCTTAGTGAGACTTAGCAGGGGAGCAAATTCGAGAGGACTTTGCTAGTTTGAAATATAAAGGTTAGACCTAGAAACTTACCTTTTGTGTATGCATTGCTGACTTAGGTTTTAGACTTAGCCTTGTAGAGGCAACCTCCCCTCCCCCTTACTGAGATGCCTGTGCAGAATGCCTTCTATGCTCCTATATCACAGCCTCTGCCGCAGCAGCTGCTTCCTTCACTCATTGCGTAACCTGCCCAATGGTAATGGTCCTGGGGAAAGTACAGACCCATGGTGTTAGGGTGTGAAGGCTACTTTAGAGTTAGTAACTGTATTTCAGTTGCATAGCTCTGCCCTGCTCTCTTGGTTTCTTAAGACAGAGTCTCACTATGTAGTTCAAGCTGGCCTTGCACTCACACTGATCTTCCTGCCTCAGCCTCCTTGAGTGCTGGGACTGCAGGTGTGTACTACCATACCAGCCTTCCCTGCCTTTTTTTTTAATCTCCTGATTTGTCTTTTGGGAAAAACCCGAATTCTTGGCAGTTTCTCATGTTTTAAGGCTAAGCTCTTTAATGAGTTCGTCTCCCCACCAGTGGTATTCACAGAGTGGTGTCTTGACAGTCTGTTTCCAGTTGTTACTCTTGTTCTGCAATATACTCTGGTATAGAGGAACTGATGTACGTTGGTCTTTGTCGCTGTTGTGCCCAGCGTTTGCACGTGCTCACGTCCTGTCTGTACAGATAAGGCAGCTCAGGCAGTGTGCAAGGACAGGGCTGAGTGAGAGCTGATCTCCAGACCAGGCCCAGAAGCCAGCTCAGTTTGGGTCTCCTTGGCGAGGCTGCCCAGACTCTCTTTCTGCAGGATGCCTGATGGTCTCTCCCGGTCTCTGTCTCCAGGGCATTTGTGTACCTGAGCAACCTGCTGTATCCCGTGCCTCTGATCCACAGGGTGGCCATTGTCAGCGAGAAGGGTGAGGTGCGGGGATTTCTGCGCGTGGCCGTGCAGGCCATTGCAGGTAGGTGACCTGCGTCTGGAATCTGTGAGACCGTGGCTCCTCTCCTGGAGATGAAGCCAGCCAACTCTTGGGGCCATGCACAGCTGCTGATGTTTGTCTAGCTTGAAGAAAGCCTCTAGCACTTCCTTTTTGGCCATTGTCCCCAAGTAACATAAATAAATTGTGTTTAATCCAGGCTACTGCTGTTTTGGAATATTGAAGTAAAGAGATTTCCTTTAACATGAAGGGCCACTCTTGGATTGACATCATTAAAAGTCATCAGCATTTTAAATAACATGTTTTAACTGCTTCAGAAGCAATGAAGGATTTTCTTGCCTACTTTTTTCCAAGTAGATATTTCTTTGGCTACTGTTCTTTAATGCATGCATCAAAATTCTGATATTTTCCACCAGTTTCCACAAGCCAGCTGACATTCTGAGAAAAGAATGTGGCAGTTCCTGCATTTCTGTATCTTAATTTCCAAATGCTATGCTGTTTAGTGACTTTTCAACCTTTCTGTCATGGAAACGTGTCACACAGTCACTGATAGTGAGTTTAGGGACTTCTCTACAAGTACAGCATATTTTCAGATATTTGTTTTGTTTTATTGAATACCGTCTTGCCAAAATGGAAAGGGGTCAGTCTTTCTAGTTGTGGCACTTAAACAATCTCCAGAACAAAACTAGTTCTTTTCTGGGCTGGGGATGTGTGTAGCTCAGCGGTGCAGCACCTGCCAGGCAGTCACGGGGCCCTGAGTTTAAGTCCCTGTACCAAAAAAGAAAAAAGACCAAAAATAAAAGCCCCTTTAAACAAAAACTAGTTCTTTTTTAACTAGTCCCACATGAGCTAAGAAACTTGGTAAATCGACAGTAACAAATTGGAAGCAATCAGTGTCATTTTGCTACTTCCGTGTTAAGTATTTTATGCAAAAGGACTTTGTCATTTATTTTATATCCAGTAAGTCATCCCCTAGCAGCATGTGCAGTCTCATTCCATCCTTGACGATTTTTTTCTTCTTAGCGGATGAAGAAGCTCCGGATTATGGCTCTGGAATTCGACAGTCAGGAACAGCTAAAATATCTTTTGATAACGAGTACTTTAATCAGGTGAGAGGCCTTTGGGATGAAAGAACACTTGAGAAAAAGCAAAGGAGAAGGTTGGTTTTCTGAGGAAGCCATACACATTGGAGGCCAATTCCCATGCTTAGAACTAAGAAATGCATATAGGCTGTGGTACTTCACAGTTCTGCAGGTCATGGGACATGCCAAAGATCCAACGTGTTTTTACCATTTTATCACTTTTTCTCAGACAGCTCTTAACATATATAATTTTCCAATATTATTATTTGTTGTGCAAATAAACACAAGTAAAGAAACTGAGGAGCGCCGGGCGTGGTGGCGCATGCCTGTAATCCTAGCACTCGGGAGGCTGTGGCAGGAGGATCACTGTGAGTTCGAGACTAGCCTGGGCTACATAGTGAGTTCCAGAGCAGTCTCAACTACATAGTGAGACCCTGTCTCAAAAAAACAAAAAACAAAAAAAAAACAAAACAGAAGAAACTGAGGAAAATGGTAGGAGGGGGATGTTAACTGTTTGAGGCAGGGTCACCTGTGTTGTCCAAACTGGCCTTGAACTCATGATTTTCCTGCCTCGGCCTCCTGAGTGCTGAAATTGCTGTGTGGGCTACCACGCTTGGTGGAAAATATGTCTCTCTCTCTCTCTCTCTTTTTTTTTTTACTTTTTGAGACAGGCTCTCACTATGTAGTTGAGACTGACCTGGAACTCACTATGTAGCCCAGGCTGGTCTCAAACTCAGCAATCCTTCTGCCTCAGCCTCCCGAGTGCTGGGATTACAGGTGTGTGCCTCCATGCTCTGCTGGAAAATATGTTTTAATGTCACTTTATCTTACACTCCCCTACCTTGCTTTCAGAGTGACTTTTCCTCAGTTGCAATGACTCGTTCTGGTCTGTCCTTGGAGGAGCTGAGGATTGTGGAAGGGCAGGGTCAGAGTTCTGAGGTCATCACTCCTCCAGAGGAAGTCAATCAAATGAATGACCGGGGTACGTAGAGTTTACTGAGACCGGGACCCTTCAGAGAGGGGGGAGTACTGACCACTGTCAAGGGGGACAGTTGCTTTCACTGACTGGGGATGGGGAGAACACCATCTCCTTCCTCTCCCATTATTTGAGCCTTACATGTGTTCACTTTCCCTTCCATAGATTTAAAGTCAAGTACTTTGCTGGATGGTAAGATGGTGATGGAAGGGTTTTCCGAAGAGATTGGCAACCACCTGAAACTGGGCAGTGCCTTCACCTTCCGAGTAACAGTGTTGCAGGCCAGCGGGATCCTCCCAGAGTATGCGGATATCTTCTGTCAGTTCAAGTAAGTTGTCCTGGTGCTTTGCTGAGAGCTTTACACACGAGACCGAGTGTTGCTCCGGAGAGGCTGCCGGGCTCTGAAGAAAGACGCTCTCTTCCCCCAAGTTAACAGTATGAGCCAGAAGTTGCTCTGGATGACCTGGGGTTCCTTGTGGGGAAGGCTAGCTGGGAACGCAAGGTTGGCCCAGGTAGCTAGCTGTTTGGTAAACAAGGGTAAAAGTAGTTGATTATCCAGCCACTAGTTTTGCCTGCTTAATACTTGGGAAAAGGAAAATTTAAATACAAAGAAGAAGGGGGCTGGGGATTTAGCTCAGTGGTTTGATGCCTGCCTTGCAAGCACAAGGACCCGAGTTCAATCCCCGACACCAAAAACAAACAAACAAAAAATACAAAGAAGAGGGCTGGGCATTTAGCTCAGTGGTACCACCGCCTGCCTCGCAAGCACAAGGCCCTGAGTTTGATCCCTGGTACCAATAAATAAATACAAAGAAGAATAAATTTCTGCATTAATTAAGAAAAGCTAATGTGTAGAAAAGATGTGGCAGTTTCATTTCTCATTTACCTAGGAGCTTTTTCTACCCCAAAGCACCCTGAAACCCTGACCTCTAGGTGCTTCCTTCGCGAGAACTCCCTAGAAAATCACTTCCCATGGATCTTAAGTTTATCTTCTGGTCAATATATCTTCTGGTATGGGCTGCAGTGCCAGAGAATGAAGTCCAGCCACTCTGTACCTGTGGCCCACTCTGTGCCCGTGGTGCCACCACAGCTGCTGTAGAGTTTCACTGTCTCCACCCTCCACGTGTGCGCTGCCTTCCTGGGGTCCCATGGAGTTCCTGAAGCATTGCTTTTATGTAGGATCTGGCCAACTCTTGTGTTTAGTGCGATCACTACATAGTAAGCCACTAACGTCATTTGCTGTAACTCATGACTGTCATTGACATATCAGCTGTCCAGTCTTGGTTTCACTAACAGGTAGGACAGATATGGCTAGATGAATGGGAGGCTTTCACTATTTTCTAATCAGGCAAGTAATATGTTTATGGAAAACATCTAATACCTGTTTGGTTCACTGATGTCTGAAATGACATTAGGAGTGTCACTTTGTCCTCACACCCTGAGGAAGCATCACCTCCATCTGGTGTTCACTGTGGAGGTGAGAGCCTGTGACCCTGGAGGAAGAAGCCTCAGGTTTACTGGGCTTTGCTCGGCTCCCACCTGACCGGTGCAGGAAGGAGGCTGTGCCCCAGAGGTCCTGACTCACCAGGGGACCACAAGCTCTGTACCACTGACAGTGGCAGATCAGACCCACTGATGCCCATGGGGTGTGTCTGGCAGGTATGATGTGTAGTGAGGAGATGAAAAAAATGGGGCAAAGTATGTAGGAGGAGGAGAAGGAGAGATGTAAGGGAAAAGGAGAAGCAACAGGCAGACAAGGGTACTCACAGCACAGGACGCAGTGCCAGCTGTTCCTCCCAGCATGACTGCAGCACTACACTATAGTAGGCTGCTGTTCTCAGACTGGTGAGCTCATGCAGGAGATAGGGAGTCCTTACTGCAGGTCAGAATATTTCCTCCTCTCCCTCCTTTTTTCTTTCTGAGCTCTCAGTGGTATTTCATTTATTTATTTTTTAATTGAGTTTATTGGTATATTTTAGGTATATAGTACAGTTACATTCATTATTGGGATCTTGTACCTCTACATGACAGGAGTGGTATTTTATTTTACTTCACTTTTTGGTGCTGAGGATGGAACCCAGGCCCTTGTGCACACTAAGCATATTCTCCACCCCAGCCCAAGGGGTCCTTCTGATGGATTTTTCTATCTTTGTGTTGAGTATTCTTTGTTTTGTTTTGTTTGTACAGGGGATCGAACTCAGGTCTTTGCACTTGCGAGGCAGGTGGCAGAACCATTGAGCTAAATCCCCAGCCCCTGTGTTGAGTATTCTTTAATTCTCCTCTTCTTTTTATTTCAGACTAATAATAGGGAGGGAGAACCATAGCAGCTCATTATTTGTGAAAATAAGTAAACATAGCCCATTGATCCTACAAGTATTTCTGGAGTGTTGTCTTTGCATCAAGCCCTGTGGGAAAACACTCGCTGTCAGTCAAGGTAGAAGACAGGCGCATAAGTACTTTGTCATGGCGGAATCAGTTGTGGGTGCTTTCTGGAAGAGGAGTCATTGGAATCCGCTCTTGGCTGGGTGTTAAAAAGGCTGCCGGGCATGTGCACTGACATGGGCTTTTAGTTTTACCTTGCAGAAGCTGGAATCTGCCAAATTTTTTCTGCACAAAATTATTTCATTGTTTTTATTTGCAGTAAAAACTTACAGAAAAGAACAGGAGTTGGTTGGATTTGCTTCTTCACTTGAAGCATTCTTACATATACATCCACATAGCTGAGTGATCAGGGCTAGTTATTTTGAAGTGAAATTTAAAATGCTGCCTATATAATATGGGAAATGTTCTTGAGAAAGAAATGCAAATAACTGACCGCTTGAGAAGCTGCCTAAGTAACATGCTTCTTAATATTGATCCAAGTAGGATTCTAAAGCAGAGCTCTTAAAGAATTTACTTTGTCCAACATTCACCTCTCTTATCTTTTTATTAAGCTTCTTGCATCGCCATGATGAAGCATTCTCCACTGAACCCCTCAAAAACAACGGCAGAGGAAGCCCTCTGGGCTTTTACCATGTGCAGAATGTGAGTGACCTGGACTTCCTTCCCACACATCCTGGTTTGTGGTGCCTGTCTTTGTCTGCTGCAGAAAGCTGATCGGTAATGCGGTGGGATGGGGGTGGGGGTCTCAGAGAGAATGGACAACAGAGGGAGTGGCCAGAGCAGTGAGGTCATCCTCAGGGATGGAGCAGCCAGCCCCTTAGTAGCCTCACCATGGACTCTCTGAGCCTGCAGGCTGGTTCGGCAGCAAAATCTTCCATCAGTCTGACTGAAGTGAGTTGTTTGCAGGCTTCTGTCCTAGAAAAACAGTGTGTTTAATGCCAGTTTTGTTAAAGTTAATGCAGGGTTAACTGTAGGGTACTTACATTGTTTGATTGCAGGGAATGTAGAAGATATTAAACCCCTTCTGTAGCTAAATGAAGACTCAGAGTCTCTATCCCTTGTCAACCCACTAGTGCCCCTTACAGCCTTCCTTACACATGGAATGGGGCAGCAGATTTCCCGTCTCTTACATGAAATTCCATGTGAACTCCGATCACAAGCCTTTCGTTGAGAACTGATTTTGTGTCAGTCCCGGTTCTAAGTATTTCCTGTGCCATTTAATCTTTACACTCACACCACAGACTGTAACAGTCCATGTGTTACAGCTGAGGTCACTGAAGCCCCAAGCAGTTAAAGTCACTCACTAGGGTCACAGAGCTAGGAAAGGGCAGAGATCATAGAGATGTGGCTCTGGCATCCAGATCTTCACTACTACATGAAACTCTCTAGCCACTTGGTAAATCACGTCCACCCTGTAAAGTAAAGGAAGAAAGGGCAGCTCCAACGATGGAGAAAATACAGAACACCCTGTTTTCTTTTTTGTGGTTGTATACTGTGAGTCCAAGTAGCCAGCTGCTGTGCACCCGTGCCGTTCCTGACACATCTGGGGAGTGTAGGTGAATCACAGATGCCCCCGGGGAGCTTTGAATCATGCTAGGGGAGTAAAATGTTGTTGTTCTCATGGAGCAGCTTGGGGAAAGTGTCCACCAAACGCAGTGGGAATAGAGAAAGGGAAGGTTATTTCCTTGTGCAAAGGTGTAGAACATTACCTTTGTTTGTTGGAGAGAGAGGTAGAGGCTTTCTGAAGAAGGTGGTATATGTAAGAAAGGCTGTGTCCGCCTTGGCCCTGTGCCTGGCTGGTAGTGAGCAGCTTCTTGTTGTTGCCATGTGAGCTGTCCTTGACAGTCAGGAATGAGGCTGGGGATTTAGCTCAGTGGTTCTGGTGCCTGCCTCAAAAATGCAAGGACCCAAGTTCGAGCCCTGGTAACACACAAAAAAAGCCAGGAATGACTTGGGTGCTTGGGGTATAGGAAGGGCCTTCCCAGCAGGATGCAGCAAAGTGGAGAGTTGGAGAAGGCACAACAGCAGGTGAGTGTGAGCTGCAGCAGTAAGTGGGAGAAGGGCAGCAGGGGCAGCCTCATCGGGGGTGTATGATGAGGCCTCTTCATGGCTGGAGCTAAGTGGGCTCGCTTGGATGAAAAGCAGAGGGGGCCTCGTCTGTCAGTGCAAGAGGCCTGCTCAGGTGAACTCCAGGACATACTCAGACTTCATGGTACTGAGGTCCTGCTTAAAGCAAAAATGTGTACTTTCTTATCGAACTTGGGACCTCGGACTTGCAAGACAAGTAGCGGAACCACTGAGCTAAATCTCTGGCCCTCATAAAACAAATCTTTCACTAACCCTATTTGGCTTTATTCCTTATTAGATTGCGGTGGAGGTCACAGAGTCATTTGTGGACTATATCAAAACCAAGCCTATCGTATTTGAAGTCTTTGGGCATTACCAGCAGCACCCACTTCATCTGCAAGGACAGGAGCTTAGCAGGTTTGGACCAGATAAGCAAAGATTTTTTTTTTTTTTTTAACCGCATTTTTAGTTTCTCGGTTGCTGGAAAGGAAAAAAATCTTTTGAGGGATTAAGATAACTAAATGGTACTTTATATATTACCCTGTCTTTCTTTTTGAGAAACTTTACTACCTTTTTCTAGTTCTCTAGTCACTATTTTAGACAGAGCAAATTGAATTTTGTCTGCATGAGCTTTGCCACTCCTTCGTACAGAGAGTTTGAATAGGGTAGGAAATTGGGGTAATAGGGATATAGCGTATATAATTGTTCCTAAAACTCCTCAGTTTTATGAAGCAGAAGCTGTAAGTGGAGTTACCAGAATGGATGAGGAGAGCAAGGTGGGGGTTTCTGGATGGTGCTGGTGTCAGCATTAACAGACGAATTTTTTTTTATTAGACATGATTTACAGGGGAACTTTTGAGTAAGAGGCATTAGCCTGTGTTACTATGTGGGATTAGGTGTGGTAGCTGGTACCATGCCAGAGTTGAAGCATGCCATTGGTATCAGCATCCGACTCTTAAGTCCTGAAGGAATTTTTCTCCCTGTCCTTGCAGTCCGCCTCAGCCTTCTCGACGATTCTTCCCTCCACCCATGCCACTCTCCAAGCCAGGTGAGCACCGGCTCTGCTCTGCCTGATGTTCTGTGTCAACCCTTCCTTGTTCTGAGTGATGTCCAGATAAAAATCACACTGGAATTCTTCCTCTCTTCTGTGTATGCTTATGTATTCCTGCTGCTCTTGAATGCATCTAGCAGGCACTAGAATTCTTGGTTCCTGATGTAAGGTAAGAGGTAATAGGGCTCTAACTTGGTTCTCTGCTCTTCTTATAGAAGATTTTTATAATCTCCCTTTTCCTGCATCTCCTTGTTTTGTATGTCACCTCCTGTCAGTAACTGACCATTTCTTTGCATGTTAATATATTTTGCATATTCAATCTCATTTTTGTTGTTGTTTTGTTTTCTTTACAGCAAACTGGTGCACAGTAACTGCATGTTTTAGTACATGGTACCCAGGGCGATGCATGCACATGTCATTGCCATTAGCGTTTTTCACACCTTCAGCAGTTACCATTTCTTTGTAGTGATGTTGTGGAAGGAATTTGCTAGAGACACACAGAGAGGCAGCAGAATGAAAGTAAAATAACAAATTTACTCATCGATGAGGGTCGATCGCACATAAGCAGCGCCTGGATCGACGATACCCTGGGTTACAATTTCTCCTTTTATAGGGTTTTACAGCTTTGACTTCATTTGGGTGGTTACATTTCATTTCCTCAGTTTATATCACCCATGTACAAATTATAGTCACAAGGTAGTTCACTTTAATCCAGAGGTAACAATTCCTTGTAGTTAGGGGTTTACCTCAAGATTCGTCTAGCTGTCTATTCTAGTGCACAGGAAGTGAGTGATCAAGGTTAGGGATGAAGCTCACTTTATGGTCAGTGTCTCCGGTGTCTCTTAATTTTGAACTAAACAAAGCAGATTTCTTTTAGAGATAGTAGAAGTCATTTTATGTTTTCCTAACATTTTGCAGGTTTTTAGATTATCTACAGAAGTTCTCTATCAGTGAGAATATTCAAAATTTTCTCTTTAGCTGTTTTGAAATATACATTATTGTTCATTCTGATCACCTGTTAGAATACTAGAACTTGAACTTGTTCCCCTTCCTTTATCTTGTTTTGATTTTTCTTTCTTTTCATCCTTTTTCCTTCCTGCCCCTTAGCACACTTCCCCACCTGTGCTCATTCCACACCCTCTGTGCTTCTTGTCTCTATCTCCACCGGCCTCACATCATGAACGAGAGGTTGAGCTGATTCTCTTTCTTGTGTCTGGCTGTGTGAATGTGCACATGCTGGACGTGTTTTCTGAGCGGGTGTGCTTGCACCCTCCACTGTTGGCACCTTCCAGAAGGAGGCTGACCCGGTGCCGCCTTTTCTCTTTCTGCCAGTGCCCAGCTGCCAGAGTGAGAGGGTACCCAAATGAGATGATTTGTAGCTGCCTTAGCTCTGCCCTAGAAGTAGAACCAACCTCCGGGGCTGGCCCTCAGACCTGGCTCACCAGGAATGAAGCACCCATGGTTCTGTCTGCTTCTCAAGCTAGCCGTACAGTTCAGCACACTGTCCGAGTCACACCACATTTCCTTCAGAGAGGCCTTAGGAAACCCCTCCACCTGCGCCTCTTCCACGTCATGCCAGGGGAGCAGGCTCCTGATCTCTTTGTCTGCAATAGTATTCTTAATTTTGAAGATTTTTATTAACAGTTGTTTTTTGTTGTTATTATTTGGTTTTGGTGTTGGCTTTGTCCATGGTGCTGAGGATCCAGTCCAAGGCCTCATGCATGCTAGGCAAGTGCTATCCCACTGAGCTGCACCCCCAGGCCTTGTTTCCATAGTACCTGTGGTTTTGTTCACTGCCCCTCATCTGGCTGCCAGAAACAGTGACCCCACTCTCTTCCTGACTGGAGTCGCAGGGCATGTGAAGCTCAGCTGGGCTGAGTACTCCTGATAGGTGGCCTGCTTGGATAGTGCTGCGTGATCCGGAAAGCCCCTACGTGCATTATGTTCACAATTCTTCACGATACCTCTTCAAGTTAGCAGCCTATACGCATTTTATAAATTGAGACAGACTAACAGAGGGCAGGCATCTCAACTAAAGTTGGAGAGCATCAGTACTCTTAGGAAGAGGGATTTAAAGCTGAACAATACATAACAGAAGCTCACGTGCAGATCCCCGAATTTACAGATTAAACCAGAGTTTCTCAGAGTTGTCTGCATGTTGGGATCACCTGGGAACCATACACCCAGGATGAATGACTGTCCCACCCCTGAGTCTGCGATTGGAGCAAGCAGGGCCTTGCCATCTTTAAGATCCCTTGTGACCTTGTAGCTCAGTCTTGCCTAGCATGTGTGAGCTCCTGGGTTCAATCACAAAAACAAATAAAATCTTGGGTGACTCTAGGCAGAGGGAGATCCGAAGCCCTGGGCTGGAGCTGGGTCTGTGCCCCAGAAGTTCCCATGAACCCCAGGGCATGCAAGGCCACCCCCAGGTGGCACTGTTTTCCAGGCACTGTGTCTCCCATGCCGTCCAAGGTGATGACAGCCACAAAATGGGAGCCTCTGGAATGCCAGGGTTTTTTATTGGTTTTACAGGACATATTTATTTTGCATAAAGCCCATTTCTCATCTTTGGAGACAGTCTTTTGCCAAGGAAAGGTAGTGGCTGTCCATCCCCCTTGTCCTCAGAATCAGAAGCACTAGTATAGGTGATTCTGGCGTTTCTTTGGGTCTTCTGCTGCCCTTCTCAAGTATGTCCTTGAAGACTGACCTTAGATAAGCATGTGCTTTGCTAAGTAAACATGGACAGATTTTGATGTTTTCTAAAAACTTTTGAAAGTTCCAGCCACCAAGTTAAACACCATGAGCAAAACCAGCCTCGGCCAAAGCATGAGCAAGTATGACCTCCTGGTTTGGTTTGAGATCAGTGAACTGGAGCCTACAGGAGAGTAAGTCCAACTTTCTAAATTTTTAAATAAAGCATTTCAAGATTAGGAAATACAATTTTGAGTCTTTTCTGTTTAGGTTCATGAATCATTACCATTGTCAACATTCAATTTTGAATTGAATTTTCATGATCTTAGTATATTTCTTTGATGAAGTTTGCCAGAGAACTGAGTATCCAGTATAATAATTTGCCTTTTGTTAGCAGCAAGGAGGTGGAGACTGCCCTTGGTTCTGAGGGCAGAGCATTATACTGTGGTTTTATCACAAGCAGAGTAGCAGGAGCTCTGTGCCAAGTATGGTCAAGGCAGGAGTGCAGCAGAATGTCCCCCAGACCCCGGCTCCTCAACCGTGACACTAATTAGAGCCAGATTATTCACTGTGGGCAGCTGTCCCATGTTGTAGGATATTTTGCGATATCCCTGGCCTCTGTCTTCAAAATGCCAGTAGTACCTGCCCTGAAGTTGTGACAACCAAAAATGTTTCTAGACATTTTGGCAGAGCCTGCAAAATGTCCCTTGGGGTCAAAGTCGCCTCTCTGCTCTTGGCTCCTGTTGGGAAGCCCTGTTTTAGAACGGTGTGATCAACATCAGCTTACTTGTCTCTCTGAGCTGTATTAGAAAAAGTGATGAGGATAATTATTGTTTATTATTATTGCTAAAGGCTTTCAGAAAAACACAGAAGAGATCCTACTTCTGAAACAGAGGCAAGGGGCTGTATCAGTTCACATGTGAGGCAGGGGATAAATGTTACTGAATGTGCTGGGTATGGTGGCCCACAGCACTCCGGTGGCTGAGGCAGGAGGATTGCTGTGAGTTCAAGGCTAGCCTGAACTAGTAGCAAGACCTTGTCTCAAACAAACAGCTACTGAATGTTCCTCTGTGTATAAATGGTGAGAACTACCATTGTTTTCGTCACCAGGAAGCATTTATTAAGTCCTTTCCATGTGTTGGGCAGCGGTACATCAATCCTGTATGCAGCTGAGAAATTGGGCCTTCATAGACAGATCTGTAATGTGATTCTGACTGGTGCTGTGAGGGAGAGGCGTATTTCCTGCCACTTGCTATTGCACTCATCCATTACTTACTGAATTCTTGCTATGCAAGGAGCAGAGGAAGCAAGCAACATTGCTGTCCTTTGAGCGCCTTAGTAAGGGTGGTGAGACACCCGTGCGTGGAAACAGCTGTAGATGCAGCTGGCTGAGTGATTGAATGGCTCAGGGAAAGGAGGGGCTGCAGTGACCAGGGCAGGCCTCACCGATACAGTCATACTTTTGTCCTCTGTGTTTCTGTTTCAGGTACATCCCAGCTGTGGTCGACCATACTGCCGGCGCGCCCTGCCAGGGCACATTTCTGCTTCATCAGGTACTAAGGCAGGAACCAAAGAGGGCCTGGGGGGACACCAGAGAGTTTACAATAAGAAACAGCACTTTCTTTTCTCAATTTTTATCTTTGTTTCGAAGATGGGGGCTTGGAGGAGCTATTGACCTCTTGTCCTGTGCCGGAGATTGAACCCAGGGCTTATGCATTGTTTTGTGTTTAATGTTTCTTCCTCAGGCCTTGGCTTATATGTGCCCTTGCTTTATATTTTAGAATAGTTGTTTTGAAAAAAAAATTTTATTTCCTTCAATTACTGTCATTTTGTGCAGTTCCCATGTTGCTTTTTTATGCTTTTCTTGATGTTTTGAAGATCGTTCTCAACAGAGGTAAAGGATAAGAGTTTCAAAGGACCACAATTTTGATTTTGAAATGTAGCATCCCCTTTGGTAAATCAAAAACCAGTATACTAAGTGCTCAGAACTGCTTTTGACCCAGGCGGGATGCAGCTGGAGTCCTGTACTCACATCCGTCCCAGCGGGCCTCGCTCTTTAGATGGATCAGAACCTCACTGATGCTCATGCCCTGACCCAGTCCCCTTGGCGTGGACAGCTTTCCCCTCCCTCTCCACACCTCTCCTTGTTGCCCATCCCCACCGCACAGTCCAGAACACAACAAGCAAGAGGAAATGATGGATCACCACAGCTGAACTGCACCCCTGTTCCCTCACCCAGGGCATCCAGCGAAGGATCACAGTGACCATAATCCACGAGAGGGGGAGTGAGCTCCACTGGAAGGATGTCCGGGAGCTGGTGGTAGGTGAGTGCGCTCCTCCAGCCAGGGGCAAGCCTGGTGCTTAGGGTATGAAGGCCTCGAGTTTGAAAGGGCTGAGTGTGCGGCTCAGAAGCGGAGCACTTGCCTGAGATATACAAGGCCCAGGCCTCGACCCCAAGCCTAAGACACAACACACACGCTTGCATGGTGAAGCACCTCTCAGCTCTCCTTCTTCTAATCCATTGTTTTACCTGCTTACAGGAGTATGGTTCTTTACTGGAGGAGGGGAGAGGGCATAAAACAAGTCTGTCCCATCATGAGGCTGCAGTTAGTTGGGGAGACAACAGACACATGTACATACAAATCAGTTGGGTGACTGAGCACCAAAATGAGGACAAGGGAAAAAGACCTCTGCCAAGAGACTTAGCACCAAAAGCCATCTGAGAGGACTAGAGTAACTTCCAGGGGAGGGCTCTGAAGAGTTGCGAGGGAATCAAGAAGGTTTTGTTACTTTCTTTTCTGGATACAGTTGGATTAAGAAAGGCGAGGGTGTGTCTGATATGCAAATGGAACAGTGGGGAAATGAGGTGCATCCTCCTGGGTGTGGCTGTGGATTTAGGATGGAGTCTGAGGCAGCAGCCCAGAACCTTTTGTTCTCATGACCTCTTAGGCTGTGGCAAAGCCTCGGAATTATGGTTCTGTGTGTTTTTTGAGACAGTGTCTCATTATGGTGTTAGTCTGGCCTTGCACTCACTATGTAGCCCAGGCAGGCCTTCAACTCAGGTTGACCCTCCTGCCTCAGCCTCCCGAGTACTGGCATTACAAGTGTGTGTGCCCACACTTGGCTCAGAATTATGTTTTTAACTGAGGAAAATAAAAGTATGTGGGATTAGAAAGGAAGCTAATGAATTGAAACACAATCTAAGAACAATTAAATAGATTTATAATATGAGCTCTCCTCTATCGTGACATTACGTGTACAGCTGTACCACCCTGAACGTGCCCAATCTCATCTGTTGTGACATTAAATGACAGGATCTAGTAGTAGATCTAGTTTGTGTCGTTTCATCATGGTGATGAATGGAAAACATTTTAGATTAGTTTGATAGGGAAACATCTATGGTTTCTATAGAGGACAGAGTCACTGGTGCTGCTAAATCCCTTCTGGTTCATTGCCCTCATAGTTCAAGGAAACACCAAATTTCAGTTAAAGATGTAATATTTTTCTCTGGAAGCTGAGGCAGGAGGGTCCTTGCAAGTGCGAGGCCAGCATGAACAACAAGGTAAGAGCCTTTTTCAGGAAAAAAAAAAAAAAAAGATGTAATCTTTTCCCCCACCCAAGCCAATGGATGCCTTGAGCTCTGTCCACAGACCCGCTGTGTTTCCAGCACAGATTAAGAACCTGGAAAGAAGATTATACTCTCTCCTGCCAGGAGCTGCTGCTTTCAAGATTTTTCAAAGTTAATTTTTGTATGGAGTCCTAATACACTGGACAGAAAAGATGTTTTTTGTCAAAAAGGGTAGGGGAGGATGCGGAGGCAGTGGTTGTCGGCTTCTCCGAAGAGCTCTGGGATTTGACTAGCGGCTCTCATACACTGTTCGCCATGTTCCTGCTGCCTTTCTGAGTGCTCTGAAATGTTGTTTAACCCTCACGACAGTCACGTAAGGGAAGACTCGGTATTGTTAGGCTCTGAGGAGGAGCAGAATCCCAGTGCTTCACGGCTGGTGAGGAAGGAGCCTCAATTAAGCAGCAGCAGTCCAGCTGTCTCAAAGATGCCCTTACCTTCCGCGCAGTGCCGCACCCCTCGGTGTTAATTCGGAAGCAGGGTTGTGGCATTCGGAGCAAGAACGTGGTACAGAGAAGTCAGTGGCTGCAAACATTTGTACTGTATGAGATGAGCGTGAGCTGGGTTGGAACAAGGGAGGTGCACTGCCAGGGTGACCAGATGAACACTGTGCCTCTGCGAGTGGGGCAGTGTCATTGCAGATAAGCTGGGGTGAATGTGAGGAGCAAAACCTTAGGCACAGAATCAGTGAGGCTTCTCAGCTGGATACGTGGGGGCGGGAAGGGGACTGGCTGCAGAAGCAGGCAGGAGCTTGTGGTTGACCAGACGCTGTCCCAGCATCTGCAGTTTCAGAGCTGTACGCCTTATTTTCATCCTTTTCTGTAGGCCGGATTAGAAATAAGCCCGAGGTGGATGAAGCTGCGGTCGATGCCATCCTCTCCCTAAATATCATCTCTGCCAAGTACCTGAAGTCTTTGCACAACTCCAGCAGGTAGGGCACCCTGAGCAGTGGGTACCACGTCAGGTCCCTTATTTGTTAATGGCTTCTGCACTCTTCTCACCCCGAAAATCCCTTCCTCCCACACCCTCCTTCTCACCAGAAAGAAAGTAAGCAGTGGCTGGAGGTGCTTGTGTGCTCAGCCACCCTGAGAGCACGGAAATGCTGTGTCCCATGTGGAGTTCCATGAGATGTAACTCAGGGAAAGAGAAAAACCAAACAGAAAATTTAGCACCCCGCCCAGGGTTTAAACTTTGGGCTACGCTGAGGCCGACAGCTTCTGGTGCCCTGGCCACTGTGGAGGAAGCGTTCTTACTCCTAAGTGGCGTGGACGCAGGCACTCTAGGAACAGCAAAGCCTCTCTTTTCGCCTTTGACACTGCTGGAACAGGCTCAGTTAGCACTTCTCATTTTTGCCCACACTTCATGGTGACAAATTAATGTAAACTCTGAGGACCAGGACTGGCTGCTCTAAATAACACATTTTATTGGCAACTTTAACACCTTCCCACTGGCTTGAACTATGGGTGATTGGCTGTTTAATATCAGATGAGACATGCAAATTACGGCCCTGTTGTGGACATGTTAAACTAGCTTTTCTTATCCTCTTTCAACACGGATGACAGATGTGCACGGTGTGTGGCCATCCTGTTTCCTAGTCTAGTGTGTGACTGGGACTCAGGCTGCTGGGTCCTCTGCTTCCCGGAAAAGGCTGGGTTCATTGTCATTAGGCCTGGGGAGTAGGAGCAGCTGGGCGTTCTGGCACGGCCCCCTTCACCTGACGGGTCCATACTCTCTGCCTTCTCTGAAAAGTGGACTCATACCTGTGTTGGGAAACAGATAACAGGAAGAAACAGAGTGAAAAATTGGGGCCAGGATTCATTTTTTTCCTTGTATTTCAATTTTGCATAGGAAACAGAAAAAAGGAACAAGTTCCTGCTTGTTTTTCTGTATGGAGGAGGAGCTGGCAGGGTCTGAGGAAGGAGGAAGGAGTGTCTGGAAGGGTGTGTGTGCCATGGAGGGCACGGCAAAGACACAGAGGGGCTCGCTGTCCTCCCCGGCTAGCGCCATGACCAGTACCATTCCTGATGTCAGCAGTCAGACTTTTAAAGCCAATGTTCAGCTGGTATTCACCACTGGATTTACTTTGTGGCTGTGAAAAGGCATCTTAAGTTTTTTCTGGGATACTTAGCAAAACATACAGGAAAGATGGTGTCTGGTTGAAATGCTGGTGTGCTTGGCTGGCCTGCATTAGAGTAACCTTGAAAGGTCCTCGCACTCTTGCTCAGCAGCAGGTCAGATGCTGTAGGAAGTCAATGTGACTTTGTTAGATGCAACTTCTCTTGTGTAATAGAAGTGTAAAGTTAGTTAATCAAAAGAATGTGGTGATCCCGGTTCCTTGAGAGATGAGACAGGATGATCACAAGTTCAAGGCCATCCTGGGCAATTTAGCAAGACCTGTATCAAAATGAAAGGGATTATGATATAGCTCAGTGCTCCCAGGGCTTAATCCCTGACACTGTAGTGGCGGGGTGGAAAGAGTTGGTTAAGGTCAAGAACAATAGCCAAGTGTGCTGATACTTTCCTATAATCCCAGCACTCCAGTGGTTGAGGAACTCATGGAGATCCTCCTGCCTCAGCCTCCCAAGCTTTGGGATCACAGGCATGGGCCACCATGCCCAGCTTTTCATTGATTTCTTAATGTTTAGCCTCTTGGGCATATTGTCCAGATGCAGGAGACCTATGTGCAGCATGGACGTTAGGCATTAGAGTCTAGGAAATGGAGGATGCGTGTGAGTGTGCTGAGTTACTAAATGAGCTTGGCCTAGGGAGGCTGTGTTCTGTCTGAGGCTCCACGTTCCCACTGGCCCTCAGGACTCCATTGTGTGGTGTGTGTGTCTCTGACGGTGGAGGATAACTGACGAGGACCATTGTTCCTTCTTCCCCGTCCTACACTTGCGCCACCTCGTTAGCTCGGCTTTCTCTTGTGCCATTCCTAGGACCCAGTCCCTGCTGCAGTGCTGCGAGCATGTGGTATCCTCGTGCCCTCTCTGCCCCCACAGGGGAGCTCAGCGTCACTAAGCCCCATGCCAAGTTGGGTCCCAGTCCACTTTCGGTCACTGTGCTCATTAGCAGATTTGTATTCATCTTTTACATATGTGCGTGTGTGCTTTTTCTCTTTTGCTTCTCTTTTTTATTTCTGTTATTTTTTGAAAGCCTTTTCTATGTTTTGGCAGGCTCTTTCTTGATAAGGGCATGCCTAGGAATTTTCTGTTTGCTTCTTTGCACAGAGTCTAGTTTGGCAGAATGCCATATGTCTCTGTTGCTTTCATTGCTCTTTTAGTGTAGTGGCCTGTTCCTGTGTGGACCTAAGCTGTACCTAGCATACAGCAAGACTGTGTACTGCACCCTAAAACTCATCTTTGTGCTCTGGATTTTTCTTAAATTATGAAATTTAGCATATAACATAAATGATTTTTAGAGTTCTCAACTATTTTCTCCTTCCATTTACTAAAGTTGGCTGTTCTATTCTTTTGCCTATTCAGGTTTTCCTCTTCTACATTACAAAGTAGAACTTTTCTACCCGCTTTCCTGGGCTCTCAGCCTCTGTTTTCTCTCCTTCTGTCTTGCCTGTCCTCTCCCAAACGTGTGGAAGATTCATTGCCCTATGGCCTTGCAGGGCTGCTCACTTTCTTCTTTGTTTTCTCCTCTGTGGTAACAGAGACCAGTTTGGCTGTGTGAGTAGCCGAGTCTTTGAGAAGAAATATGTTTCACATATTTTTAAACATTTCTTTCTTCTGTCAGCCTTGTTTATCTGTTTTCTTCTTTTGGAATAGAAACAGTCCTGGCTTTTCTGCATCTCTGAATCTGATTCGCAGGAAGCAAGCTGAGAGGAGCAATGCGTGACAGTCAGCCTGGGATGTCATTTGACCAGTGTTCTCATGGATGAGGAGTTTGTAGTTCATTCTGGGACCCAGCTGGTTTATGTGTCACAGGTTCTCCCAGTGGGCGCAAGAGGGCGCTGCAGGGCTGGGTGTGGAGCAACTCCCCAGTGCCACAAAAAAAAGAATAAAGAGGCCCACAGACGTGACCCTAACATAAGAGATTTGTTCTTAATTCACAGTTAATAGCATTAAGTGAGCATGCAGTGTACCTCAGGCCCCTCAACACCTCTCTCCTCAATGCTGTGGTGGTTGGGACATAGGGGTCATTTTCTAACCACCTCAGGAGAAGAGCATGTGCCAGGACTCAACCCTGTTTCTAACCTCACTTTCATCATCCGTTTCTTACCATCTGATCTCAAGAATTGCTGTGTGAGTGGATACTCCTGCAGAGAGGGTTGCAGCGACTTCAAAACAAAACAAAAAGAAACTCTTTTTTTTTTCCAATACAGAAAGATTTTAGTGGAGTTAAAATTTCCTTGTTTCTAGGGGCCAAGGATTTAGCTCAGTGAATCCACCGCTTGCCTCACAAGCACAAGGTCCTGAGTTCGATCCCCAGTACAAAAAAAAATTTTTTTCCTTGTTTCTGCCAGTAAAATTTTAAAGTTAGGCTAAGTACAAAGTAAACCTAGGGGCCGGGGATTTAGCTCAGTGGTTCCGACTCCTGCCTTGCAAGCTCAAGGTCCTGAGTTCAGTCCTTGGTACCAAAAAAACTGAACCTAAAAACAGAAGTATACATAACTTCCCTACACAAGTTTAGACCATTGCTTCATTTGGAAGAGTCATAGAGGTCTGGGTGTGGTGGTGCACACCTGCAATTCCAGCACTTTGGAAGATGAGGCAGGAGGATTGCTGAAAGTTCAAGGCCAGCCTAGGCTACACAGTGAGTCCAAGTCCAGCCTGAACTACATTGCAAGACACTGTCTCAGAAAAACCCAAAACAAATCAACAAAAAAAGTAAGATTGGGTCTAAACAGGACTTTGTGGTTGTGTGAAGGGTTTTTGTTGAGCCCAGGAGCCTTGGAGAGGCTCCCATTATCCATCATATCCATTGCTTTTGGAGCCCCTGGTGACTGTGCCTTAGTCTTGTTAGTTGTCTCTGCCTTCCTTCGGTGTCTCTGTAGAGAGTTCTCTCAACCCGCACTTGCTGCCCTGAAGCTAGACAGTCAAGAAGGAGCCACACACAGGAAGAAGATGCAGTAAGAAACAGCTACGGAGTGAGCGACCACACCTCACATGTAGCTCTGGGAGGCTGAGGCCTGGTTAAGGGTTTCACTTTCAGATGTGTGCCATCTTCTTTGCTCATCAATTCTGGAGAAAGAGGCATGGGTGTATCCTGAGGAAGGATACCCCTGCTGGTTCTCACAGGAAATCTAGCAGAGGCCCTGCTGGTGAGGCTTCAGCTGTCTGGGAAGGCATGAGGAGAGGAAGGACCCGGGTGCGGAGGAGCGAGCTGTGCTCTGCCATGCTGGCCATGTTGGATGGAGGCATGGGCCAGGCCTGGAGTTGCCCACTGATTTGCCAGGAGGGAAAATGGTATTAGAACAACTGAAAAAGTTGGTTTGTGGTATCTACCAAATTAGCTTTTGGTTCCTTCTTGACTATAAACTGATTTTTCAAATGGCTCTTTTGAAAACTAACAAATGGTAGTGGATTGGCTGTGGTGTTAAAAATCCTTCTCTTTCACTGAAGCACCCATATCAGCTCTTCTTTCGAAATAGGCTCTCTACACTCACATTCTCCAGCCTGTTTGTGCCACAAGCATCTCAGATGCACATGAGATGTCCTGAGGCCCAGCCCACCATGCTGGGTGTCAAGCACAGCTCTGGGGCTGTGCAGACCAAGCTGTGAATGCCAGATGTTTCTTCCTGTGTCATCACTGATGGACAGGCTGCTCACTTTGTCTGTCTTCTCTCAGATATTGTCCGGTCTCGCTCATCCTTTTCAGCTTAGTCTCCTTGATTGCTCACTGTTTTTATATTCCTAGTCATCATCCAAAAGAAAAAAAATGAGCACAGCTATGTTTCCCCCCGTTTTTCTGCAAGATAAGGGCTCCCTCTGTTAGTGTGCAATGAGTAGAGCAGGGTGGACCCCTGATGGGAGCGGCCTGGGCTCATGTCATGGCTGCTGCCCCAGTCAACCCGTCCTCTCTCCAATCCCAGGACCTTCTACCGTTTTGAGGCCGTGTGGGACAGCTCCCTGCATAACTCCCTTCTCCTGAACCGAGTGACGCCCTACGGAGAGAAGATCTACATGACTCTGTCAGCCTACCTGGAGGTGAGGACACACAGAGCCTCTGCAGAGGAAGCAGCGGCCAAGAGCCCATTGTTCTTCCTCTTTTCTTCCTCCACCTTCTTCAGTTGTTTCTTTTATTCTACTTTACTGACTGTTGGGATGATATTAGATTCTGTTTCTGGCCTCTTATTTAATCAACAGATGATAATTTTTATGATGGTGTAGGCTTTAGTAGCCCAGCCACCATTCTTTAAGAATGAATGACTTTAGAAAACTTTTCAGGCTGAGTGTGGTTGCATACCTGCAGTCTCAGCACTCTAGAGGCCAAGGCAGAAGAATGCCAAGTTTGAGGCCAGCTTGGGCAACTTAGTGAGATGCTGTCTCAAAATAAAACGAATATATATATTTTAGGGCAAAAGTCCTGGGTTCAATCCCCAATACCACAAATAGAAAAAGAAAACAAGAAAAACATCACCTCGTTTTCATGGTTGTGACAGAGCCTAGTAGTAGTTTAGCAGCACAGATCCTGGAACCAGCCTGAGTTCAGATCCCTGTGCTGCCACCTCCTGCCTGTGTTGTTGGACAAGCTGTCTTTGCCTCGGTCTCCTCCTTTACTAGCAGGGTAATAGCAGTATTTAACCTCAGAATAAATATGCAGCAGGCAGAGCCCCTGGCCTTGCCCTTTTTACCTGTTGGGTCACTGCGATGGCTGCTCACAGAGCCCTGCCTGCGCTCACGCAGCACTGCACTCTGCTTTAGCTGGACCACTGCATCCAGCCCGCGGTCATCACCAAGGACGTGTGCATGGTCTTCTATTCCCGTGACGCCAAGATCTCGCCACCGCGCTCTCTGCGCAGCCTTTTTGGCAGCGGCTACTCGAAGTCGCCAGACTCGTAAGTTCATGAGACAAGTTTCCTTCCAGTTCATGGGCACCATGTAACAGAATCCCTGGTAACTTGCTGCTCACAGTTATTGTACAGCTCATAAACCACTTGGGAAATGGGTTCCTAAAGTCAAGGATGAGCATGCTGGCATTAGTAAAATGTTGGTGGATGGATGAGTTACTTAAGGAGGGGAAAATATTACATTGTGAACATTTCTGAAGCACTTCTGCAGTGATGTAAAGTATATTAAAATAAGCTGCAGGGTTGGTGCACGCCTATAATCCCACATGGCCTGGGAGGCTGAGGCACAAGGGTTGCAAGTTTGAGCCAAGCCTGGGCAACTTCGCAACTTAGTGAGACTATCTCAAAAAAGTTAAGAGGAGGGCGGGGATTTAGCTCAGTGGCACTGTGCCTGTTTTGCAAGTTCAAGGTCCTGAGTTTGATCCTGATACCAAAAAAACAACAACAAAAAAAAAAAAATTAAGAGAGGAATATAGCTGAGTGTACAGGCCCTGGTTCAGGCCCCAGTACTGGAAAAAAACAAGAATAAAATGTATATAAAAATAGGTCAAGAACTATAGAGTAAATTCTTGTATATCACCACCCAGCTTAAAGAATAAAATAAGCATGATTGTTGCTATAATACAATAGAAGATTCGGCACCCCTTCTTACTCATGGTCCTCGGAACTATTTATCACTTCATTCCAGTCACCTTTGTCCCTCATCTCTTCTTATGGGGAAAAAAACCAAGTTTTTAGTTCTCATATTTGTATTACAAGTGTCCTAGTTTAGAATTGTTAATGAAGGGACCCATCATGTAGCTCCGTGGTTCTGCATCTGCCTGGCAAGCACAGGGTCCTGAGTTTGATCCCCAGTACCAGAAAAAATATATATAAAGACATGGAGAGTGTGCATATGTGTGTGTGTGTGTGTGTGTGTGTGTGTGTGTTGTGTGTGTGTGTGTTTCTGGGCCTTAAACCCAGAGCATTGTGTATGCTGGGCAAGCACTTTACCACCAAGCCATACCCACAGCCCAGATGTGGAGCACTACTCGGCCATGCAGAAGGGTAAGCTTGAGACATTTTTAGCTAAATGGATACGCCTTGAGACCATACTCTTAAGTGAGATAAATCGGACACATATGTTTAAATACCACATTGTTTCTCTGTTGTGAGAAACTGGAAATGGAAATAAGAACTGAAGTGTACAATAAACTTTGGGAAACGGGAAGAAAATGTTCAAATGATAAAGGAAACCAGGGAGGGAAGAAGGGGGAAGGGAAGAAAGGACAAGGAAAAGAGCAAAGGAAAACATGGAAACAAAGCTTTTGTATGTAAGGGGAGGTTGGGGAGAAAAAGCAGCAAGATATATCATGTACAGGTACAAACTCCCTATATGAATGTTATCATCATATATATTTTAAATGTACCAAGAAGTGTTTGGCTTCAAAAAAAACTGTTCTAGGGCTGGGGATTTATCTCAGTGGTTCTTCTGCCTGCCTTGCAAGCACAAGATCTGGAGTTTGATCCCCAGCACCAAAAAAGAAAAAAAAAGTTCTAGTTTACCATCCTCTTATTCATCCTGTGAAAACAGCCTTGGTCAAAAGATTAAGAGAGCTCCTGCCTAGAAAAGATCTGCTACTTAGCCTTGAATAGAAAAGGACAGTGACTGATAAGAAATGTGAATCAAGAGCCAGGGATGTAGCTCAGTGGTGCTGCCACCTGCCTCCCAGATGCAAGGTCCTGAGTTCGATCCCTGGTACCAAAAAAAAAAGAAAGAAAAAAATGTGCATCATTGTACTCAGGAGTGGGTTGCAGTCCCTGCATAGGAGATGATTTTGACCAGACAGCAACTGAGGCTTCGCTGTTTTGCACTATCAGAATGAAGCAGTTGTTTTACTTTATTTTCAAATAGGAATCGAGTCACTGGAATTTATGAACTCAGCTTATGCAAAATGGCAGACACAGGTAGCCCAGGTAAGTTCTTGGGGCCTGGAGGTGACACTTATCTTGTCATGTGTTTTTTAAGTACAAAAAAACTATAGTCTACCCATGTAGGATGGAGATAAAACCTGTTAGAAATCACGTGTATTTTACAAACCCCTTTTGTGGTGATAGAGGTAAAACCGCAGCATTGTTTGTTGTATGTTGTAGAACATGGTTATAAAAATTGTATCAAACACAATGTCACTGGGCTATGAAATACTATTTGGAAATGCGGGTGAATTAGGCTTGGGAAACTTCGCTCATCCCTCCCCACCTCTGCCCAAAGACCATGCAGCGGTAAAAGTCTAAAAGTCAGTGAGCAGCTTCCTGGGAGACTGGCAGAGAGTTCAGCCCTGGCCTGGTGGTGGCGCTCGATCCCCCATACCACCAAACAGAACAACAAAACAGTCCTTAGCCCCGACCCAGGCCTGCGGAACCCCATCCTACTCTCCCTGAGATAATGGCAGGACACCGAGCCCTCCCCTTCCAGGTCCCACCCATTTAGACTTCACAGCGACAGTCCCATTCCACGTGACTTTCCAAAGGGAAGAAGTCACCACCACATAGGTTTTGTGGAAAAGCATTTAACAAGTTTTTTGTATTTTATTTTTATTTGTTCATTTGTTTATGTGGTGCTGCACATTGAACCCAGGGCCTTCTGCGTGCTAGGCAGGCACTATACTGCAGAGCTGCACCCTAACCCGGCAGAGTGGGTTTAGAGACCTTTATGGAGCATGTCAGGGCCCATGGTAAGATTTAGATAGAGACTTTGAGCTGGAATCCAAGTCCCAATAGCAGTAATTTTACTGTCGAGATAGTGTGCCTGTGTATATATGCATATATATGTGTGTGTGTATATGTATATATATATTTTTTGAGTTGGGGTCTCACTATGTAGTCCAGGCCAGCCTCAAAAGTTTGGTGATCTTCTGCCTCCACCTCCAGAGTGCAGGATTATAGGCATGTACCGCCAGACCAGGCTCTCCATGTAGTTCTTGAGGAATTTTAAAAACTAACATAAATTCATGTGTTTCCTATGTAAAAATAGTGTAACATTTACATATTTTTTCTTTTTGATTCCTTTACTTTTTTTAAAGAGGTATAACATTAAAAAAAAATGAGAGGGCCAGGGATGTAGCTCAGTGGCACCGTGCCTGCCTTGTAAGCTCAAGGACCTGAGTTTGATCCCCATACAAAAAAAATGGGAAATGAAAAGGACTCAAGCCATCTGTCATCTACCAATCCCTGAACCACAGTCCCTCCCCATTGCTCTCATTGAGGTACATTTTTAAATATTTGGAATCATAGTGTACAGACTGATACCTGTCTTTTCATGTAGCAGTGCTGTTAGCATTTTCTCCCATTGCAGTTCAGTCTGGTGGCTCATGGCTTCAATTCTAGCACTCAGGAGGCTGAGGCAGGGCCTTGCAGGTAGAAGGCTAAGTGAGTGGGTTGGCCTAGACTCCAGGGAGATGGGCAGGGCTATGGTATCCTTCAGCAGAGGAGACCTCTCACACAGGGCAGGCCATGGATTCACTCCCAGCACCGCGTCAGTTGCTTTGGAAGAAAAGTGGGTTTTAATAAATGAAATCTCATGGGTCTTGAGGCAAACATAGATTGCCACATGTAAGTCTTAGTAATTCCTTTTGACCTTTGCGTTGGAAAGCCAATCTGCCCTTTTGTGCCAGGCATGCAGAGACGGCGGAGGAAAGTGCTGGACACCTCGGTGGCCTACGTGCGTGGGGAGGAGAACCTGGCCGGCTGGCGGCCCCGCGGGGACAGCCTCATCCTGGAGCACCAGTGGGAGCTGGACAAGCTGGAGCAGCTGCATGAGGTGCGCGTAGCCCTCCTCCACTGGGACAGTGCCCTGCATGGCAGCCTGCAGGAGGACAGGGTTATTTTGGCTCACGTTTCAGCCCCTGCTAGGCTGGTTCCAAGGCAGCAACAGGAGTCAGCGGGCTGGTGGAGGAGAGGTGCTCTTGGCTTGGTGACAAGGAACAGGGTGGGGGGGTAGGGAGTGGCGAAGGGAGGGAGAGCCTTCTAGGCCACGCCCCTTCTGGCCTGACCCCGCCTCCTACAGCGAGTCTGCTCTAAACCTCCAGGATCCGGTCAGCACCTAAAGCCCCACCTGGGAGCACAGGAGGCTTTGGGGGACATCTAGAACCAGATGTCTTGGTTCTAAAATTGTAAAACAGCCAGGTGTGGTGGTGCACACCTGTAATCCTAGCACTCAGAAGGCTGAGGCAGGAGACTCACCATGAGTTCGAGCTCAGCCTGAACTGAGTTCAAGTGAAACCTGAACTATAATTGAAAAGCCCTGTCTCAAAAAACAAAAAGATCTAGGTAAGCTTTTTTTGTTTGCTAAGGCAGTAGTGTTATCTTCTCAGGTGGAGAAAACGCGCCACTTCCTGCTGCTGCGTGAGAGACTTGGCGACAGCATCCCCAAATCCCTGAGTGACTCGTTGTCCCCCAGCCTCAGCAGCGGGACCCTCAGCACCTCCACCAGCATCTCTTCTCAAATCTCAACCACCACCTTCGAAAGTGCCATCACCCCCAGCGAGAGCAGTGGCTATGACTCGGCGGACATCGAGAGCCTGGTGGACCGGGAGAAAGAGCTGGCCACCAAGGTGGGCGCCTCTTCCCGGTGGAGCACCTCAAGCACTGGCGGTCAGCCCTTCTAGAGCCTGTGTGCACACAGAGAGAGATGGACACATCTGGTCCTGCTCTGAGCTTCATTCTGGGCCAGAGAGGGTCACGGAGGCTGTGTCTCGGGAGGGAGCTGACGGGAGAGGGACTGGACATGGCGTGGGGGCCCCATCTGGCACTGAAGAGTTTCCAAGGGCCTGGGGGAGTGGTGTGGGTTTTTTTTTGTTTTTTCCTCTGTACCAGGGATCAAACTCAGGACCTTGTGCTCGTGAGGCAGGAGTGCCACCACTGTGATAAATCCTGGGCCCCAGTTATTTATTTTTTCATTTTGTGGTGCTGGAGACTGGGCCTAGTCTTCACACTGCGCTTTTTTTTTTTTTTGAGACAGGGTCTAAAGTCACTAAGTTGCCCAGGCTGAGCTCAGATTTGCAAACTGCCTGTCTCAGCCTCCTAGAGTTCTGGGATTATAGAAATGTGCCACCATGTTGGGCTGGACATATTTGGACATATTTTACAGTATTTATTTTAGAAAAATTTCTCTGGCAACAGTGAAGAGGATGGGTTTGTGAGGAGAAGAGGAGTCTTTCACACAGCAGTCCACTGGGAATGGTGGAGGCTACTAGCAAGGATGGAGAGAGCAAAGAGCTCCCGGGTGTCGAAGGGGGAGGCAGAGGGTTTGTCAGGGAAACCGCCATGGGCACAGCTGCCAGGCAGCTAGCCGAAAAGTATTATGAGCAGTGGTACTTTTGTGTTTGTCTTGTTTTCAGAACTTGACAGTCCTCTAGTTTGTGTAGGAAAATGTCCCATCCAGAAGTCTCCCTGCCGACTATTATCCAAGTAAAGTGGAATGAAAGGGACGCTGTTAATGTTTTTAAAACAGTCATGTTTGCAGTAGCTCACTTTCATGGGCTGAGAACAGCGCTTCACTGACATACCTCAGCTTTCCCTTGCTGTATATTCAGGCTAGCTCTGAGGAGCAGAGCTGGAGGGGCCACTCAAGCCCACTCCCCCACCCCCCACTCACCATCTCTTGGTACACGGGCATCAGCTCTGGTAACTGTGCCAGCGGTTGGCTGATTCTAGAGCTCTCTGGGCCATGCTGAGCTCTGGTGCGAGAGTTTCCCTCTGCTTTGCATTCAGGGTTCCTTTTAGCCATTGAACTTTTTTTCTTGTTGTTTTGTGGTACTGGGGACCAAACCCCAGGACCTGACATGTTAGGCAAGTGCTCTATGTCGCTGAGCTACATGCCCAGCTCTGTTTCTTGTTTTTGGTTTTTTGGTTTGTTTTGGTACTGAGAATCAAACTCTGGTCTTTGTGCTTGCGAGGCAGGCAACGGCACCACTGAGCTAAATCTCTGGCCCAGCTCTTTGTTTTTGAGACAAAGTCTCACTAGGTTGTCCAGGCTGGCCTCGAACTTGCTGTCCTCCTGCCTCAGCCCCCAAGTACAGTAACGCCACCACTTGCAGCTTAGCCACTGATGTGTTCTGTCCATTTACACAGCTTCCCCTCCTCTTCCTTCTCCAGTGCCTACAGCTGCTCACCCACACTTTCAACCGAGAGTTCAGCCAGGTGCACAGCAGCATCAGCGACTGCAAGGTGAGCACCGCGGCCCTCAGTATGGGCCAGAGCGTGAGTAATGCTTCCTCCCCTGAAGCCCTGGGCTCTGTTCCCTGGACTGTGCAGTTTTGGGGTGGTCTGAGACAGACACATAATTGTTTGAAGACTGATGCTGCTCTGGTCTTTACTCCAGCTTTTCAGAGTCAGAGCAGACTTGGGATAGAAATGAGGTAGGGACGCTGTTGGCTCCTCCCTGAACTCCGGAGGAGGATGTTCTATAGGGAGGGAAGTGGGGCGGGGACAAGGCACATGAAGTCCTCAGGCGCCGGGGAGCACCAGGCTCAGTGCCTTTGGAGAACTTCTGTGTCCTAGGCTCTTTCTGCCCTCTGCGGTACCCCCAGACACGCCTGCTCTTGCCTGCCTGCTGCCTGTGTTGCTCCCAGTTTTCCCTCCGAGATTCCCCTGGAGTGGGGCGCCCCCGCAGCAGGCTTGGGTCTCCCCGGAACTTTGTGCCCTCCCATATTGTTAATGCCTGGCACTTTCTGAAGTGTTTATTATTTGCCTTCTGCACTCAGATGTGCTCTCAGGAGAGCAGGGCCTTCATCCTGCTCTTAGAGTCATGTCTGGCACACAACAGAGGCTCAGCATGTATGTGCAGAAGGGTATTTAATTAACACCAAAAGGCAGCAGCAATGTAAGAAGCCAAGCTTGCCTATAACTTTACATTTTATTAGTACATATTGGAATGAGTACATTCATTATAAGGAGATGGTACATGTCCATAACATATCTTAATTCCCCTTTTATAAATGGCTTCTATATGCATGCACACACACACACACACACACACACACACACACATACTTATATTTATATTATTATTATATTTGGGGAGGCTGTACTAGGGATTGAACCCAGGGTCTTTACTGAGCTACATTCCCAGCCCTATTTTTATTTTTCATTTTGAGACAGTCTCAGTTGCCCAGGTTAAGCTCAAACCTGTGATCCTCCCACCTTGGCCTCGCACAATGCTGCAATTGAGATGTGCCCCATGCTCAGCCAAAAGTCATTCTGTACATGGGCTTTTGGCTTCTTTTCTTTTGTTTTTGTTTCCTTTTATTTTATTTTTTGGATTTTTTTTTTTTTTTTTTCAGTACTGAGAATCAAACTCAGGACCTTGCGTTTGCCAGGCAGATGTGGCACCATTGAGCTAAATCCTGGCCCTTATGTTTTGAATTTTTGAGATACAGTCTCACCATGTAGTAGAGGCTGGCCTTGAACTTGCTATGAAGTCCAGGCTGGCCTCAAATTTACAGTGATCCTCCTGCCTAAGCCTCCTAAGTGCTGGGATTATAGGCGTGCACCACTATGCCTGGTTTATATCCCTTTGGGGGGGGCGGGGATTGAACTCAGACCCTTGCACTATGCAAGGCAGGTGGTGGAACCATTGAGCCAAATCCCCAGCCCTTACCCATGGTTTGGTTTGGTTTTTTAAGATAGGTCTTGCCCTATAGTGGAAGTTGGCCTTGAACTTACTGTCTGGCTCTGGCTGACCTCAAACTTGTAAACCTCCTGCCTCAGCCTCCCAAGTACTTGGATTGCAGGTGTGACCCCTACAGCCAGCTCTGGTGTTCTTGCATGACCTTGCAGCCAGCTGGTGAGAGGGAGGCACTGGCTGTCCGAGCTCCCTGTGGCTGTGTGGCCTTTTGCTGCTGCATCTCACGGGCTGTTTTCCTCCCACTTCCAGCTGTCTGACATCTCGCCAATGGGACGCGACCCCTCCGTGTCCAGTTTCAGCAGTGCTACCCTCACCCCGTCCTCCACATGCCCCTCTCTGGTCGACTCCAGGAGCAACTCTGTAGATCAGAAGTAAGCACGGGTTCAGGGAGGAAGTGGTGTGGGAGTTGAGGGAAAGGGTGGCTTCCTCAGCTTGGGTGTTCCATGAGGGCCATGCCGTCATGCAGGCAGCTACAATATGGCCAGGGATGTAGCTCAGTGGCACAATTATGTCAGAGGCTGTCAGCTGTAAGATATTACTTTACACAGAAAGAAAAACATTCAACATATTGTTAATTATAAAAGGCATCCCACTTCTAGAATTGATAAATAGCCTAGCATGGTGGCACATGCCTGTAATCCCAACACTCCAGAGGCTGAGGCAGGAAGATTGCTGCAAGTTCGAGGCCAACCTGAACTACAAAGCAAAACTCTGTCACAAAAAAAAAAAATAAAAGAAGCTAGGCATGGTGGCACACACCTGTAATTCCAGCACTCGGGAGGCTGAGGCAGGAGGATCACCGCAAGTTTGAGATCAGCCTGGGCTACATAGTTCCAGGTCAGTCTCAACTACATAGTGAGATCCTGTCTCAATAAATAAATAAATAAGAAACAAAGCATGGAAAGATGGGTTAGGGCGCTCAACAAAGACTCCTAACAACAGAACAGAGGACTTTGTTTCTCACGCAGCCAGTCCAAGGTCTCGGCCAGATCTGCCTGCGCAGCTCTGGGGAACCTGGGCTCTGCATTGCCTGCACGCTTGGTGTTGTCCTGCAGGGGATGATTGTACAGCTTGGTGGCCACACCCCACCCACTTCCCATCCCTGACACTTTCCCAGGTGAAGCTGCTGCTCCTGGTCCATGACCACAGTCTGAGCACCACTGCTGTAGGTTTGCATGGGACTAAAGAGAAACCTGTATGTCCCGGCACAGAAGTCCTCAAAATGCAAGGCCCTTGGAGAGGGAGACGGGGTTGGTGTGGGGAGGCTGTGCGGATGCCTGACCTTCCTGTACGGCAGGCTGTTTGTATCGCTGACAGCTCTGCAAGGTTCGCCATCATGCTTCTAATCTCTTTCTTCAAAGGACCCCAGAAGCCAGTTCCCAGGCCTCCAGCCCCTGCACAGAATTTGAGCAGTTTCAGATCGTCCCAGCTGTGGAAACACCCTATTTGGCCCGAGCAGGAAAACATGAATTTCTCAATCTCGTTCCAGATATTGAAGAAATCCGACCAGGGTGAGTGCCATGGTGGGCAGGGTGCGACGCTTACCTGCATGGCCAGCAACAGTTTGCTCCTGGCTTCTCGTGAGGCTCCATCGTGGCCTTGGGCATCCGGGCCCGGCTGAGCCGCCGCGTGGGTTTGTGCCCGGTGTTGGTGCGGCATGTGTGGTGGTACTCTGCTCTCTTGCTCTACTGCTTGGGCAGATAGGAATCTAGGCCCAATCAATGCTTCTCTTGTTTTGCTGGATCCAGGACTTGCCCACAGAACCCACCTGGATGGCCCTCGGCTCATGACCGTTTTCTTTTTATGAGAAAGTAACTTCTCTTTTCCCACACTGTCCTCGTAGCTCAGTGGTCTCTAAGAAAGGATACCTGCATTTCAAGGAGCCGCTTTCCAGCAGCTGGGCCAAGCACTTTGTCGTGGTCCGTCGCCCATACGTCTTCATCTACAATAGCGACAAGGACCCGGTAGAACGTGGAATCATTAACCTGTCCACGGCCCAGGTGGAGTACAGTGAGGACCAGAAGGCTGTGGTGAAGGTCAGTCCTGCCCCATCTCGGCCTCCGCTGCTGTGTACACCGTCCCTTCCTCAGTGGGTACAGCAGGGCGGTGACCATCGCTGTTCCCTGCACTGACGTCCCTGTCTTCCCGTTTCTTCCAGACGCCCAACACCTTTGCTGTGTGCACAACGCATCGCGGGGTCCTCCTGCAGGCTCTCAATGACAAGGACATGAACGACTGGTTATATGCCTTTAACCCCCTCCTTGCTGGCACGATAAGGTGAGCAGCATAAACGGGAAAGGGCGCACTGCTCTGAGTTGTGAAGAGCGTTGTGAGGACAGGGTGGTAAGGGGCTGCAGGGACGGTGTGGCCTCCGCCTACCCTGACAGCTCGGCTCATGCCTGGTGCCATAGCACACACCTGTGGCCCCACCTGGGGTATGAGGCAGGAGCATGGAGAATTCATGCCTAGCCTGAGCAGCTCAGCGAAACCCTGTTTCAAACATAAATATTTCAAAAGGTCTGGGAATGCAGCTCTGAATAAAGGCTTTCAGTTCAGTCCCCAGTACCACCAAAAACAGAAAATTCATCTTGTGTTCTGAGCCACCGAGGAGACCCTGGCACATATATTTGTAGCAGTTAATCTTTTTTTGTTGTTGTTCTCAGGAGGTCGGCAGGTGGGGCAGAGCGCAGCCCTGTGGTTCACCTCAGATCCTCTGAGGGGCTTGTGCCCCAGGGTCCCCATTTGAGGAAGATCAGGGCCCACAGTGTCACCGAGAGACCCCGAGTTCTGACCCTGCTTCTCTTTGTCCCACAGGTCAAAGCTGTCCCGGAGACGCCCGAGCCAGCCCAAGTTCTGAGCGCTCTGTGGAGCCTCCACGCCTTGGAGAGATAAAGCAAGCTTCCTCTCTTTGTGGTTCTTGATGGTTGCTCTTGTATGTAATCCTGTGGTTTAACTACTTTCCCTCCTTGTCTGGCACTTTTTCTACTACTCTCCTGTCCCCATCTCCATGGCTCTGTACTCTTCTTTCTTCTTGTGCTGAGAATCTTGTTAGTAGCATGTGGCCTAACAAAAGGAAAACAGATTTTTAAAAATCAGAACCCACACACGCGCACACACCAGTGAGGATGTCCACTGAATCACCCCGTGGTGCACTTGGGCTTCCTGTCATGTGACAGCACTGGTGTCTGTCATTTGGGGTACCTGTCTCTTTTTCAGGGTAACTTTTTCTTCTTTTCTCTGTGATGTCACTTTAGTTTTTCTTGGGTGGCTTAGAGACAAGAGGGGAGCATCTGGGGAAGAAACTTACCTTTCCCCTGCCGTCTCCCTTGGCCGCAGCCCAGCCCTGCATTTCCATCAGGGAGAAGGTCATGCTGAGCTCAGACACAGATGGTCATCTTCTGGTCATGTGGCTTCCGTAGGAGGTGGTTATGGGGTTTCACAGAGTAGAAGAGACGAGAGGCCTTAGCAGGCCTGGGACAGTGGTTGCTATTGGTCCCTGAGCCAGGATGACCCCAGATCGGGACACAGGATGTGGCACGGCCATGGAGGTGGCAGGTCAGAGGATGCCCGCCTTCCCCACAGCAGGGTCCTGCAGACCCCTTTTGTCCTGTGAGAAGGGAGCTGCCCCAGGGGCCTGGGGTGTCACGTATGTGAGCTACGCGGGGGAGCGCATGCTGTCTGTCCCCGTTGTCCCCCCCAACCCCCACCCCGTTACTGCAGTGGCCCTTGCTGACAGTGTTTCAGCTCCTTCCCTCCATCAAGGAAGTGCAGCTCCCAGCATAGCTCTGAAGTCCTGGCGTGCAGGGGCGATTCGCAGTCGCGCAGCTCCCTGGGCTCATCAGAGAGCACACGCGGCAGCCTTTGCTGTCTGGACCCCAGGCTGAGCCAACCCCACTGCCACTCTGCACTGCAGAAGGTGGCCCAGCTGGGGCCCTGCCCGCGTTTCTGTGATCGTCCTGCACTCTGGCTCTCTGTTGTCCTCTCCTCCATGTGGCACAGAGATGCTGCCCACAAAGTAAGGAGAGCTCGCTGCCATCAGCCGTCTCCTTTTTATCTGCCAGACCCGGTCCTCTGGCCTCATAGAGGCTGTGCTCTTCGGCTGCCCTGGGTTTCACGGGGGCCTTGGCTTAGGGCAGCTGCTGTGCCCGTGACACAGGTCCTTTCGTGCCACCTTGCCCTGCTCCCTGTCCCCACCACCTTGCTGTCAGGAAGGCAGCCACTCCTCTCAGCTCCTGGCCGCGTGTTCTGATGGCGCTGGGCTGCTTCTGGTGGAGCTGGAGTGCCCCACAGAGCCATCTCGGGACCGCGCACCAGCACCGCCTGGCCAATAGAGGAAGGGGCGTCTGGGAGCTGCATGAAGAAAGGGCAGGAGTCAGCTGGGTTCCGATGGAGAGTGAGCAACAGAAAGTGGTGGATTTTATCTTTCTGCTGAAAGAATAGGTCACTAACTGTAACGCTATTTCCTAAGTGTATGTGAGGTTCTTAAAGTAGCTCGCTGTCCATGTTCTCCAACAGACGCGGTATGCCCTTCTGTGTCTGTGGAAACCAGCAGGATCTGCTTTCAGCAGCTTCCTGGGCTTTAACTAAATCTAAATCTGACTTCAGGGAAACGAAGGTGAAATTTGAAGGTCACTTTTAAATTAAATCACTGACATTGCTGTTGTGAAGTTGGACCTTAGGATCTATGGCTGGGTGGGCTGGGGGACAGACGTGCGATGCACTGAAATCACTTTTGTGTTATCCTCTAATGCAAACGAAATTGGTTTGGAAAGTCTTTGCTTTGTGAGTGTGAGACGCAAGGAGCATCGAGCTGCCTGTCCTGCCTCCTACTCCCGCTGGTCCGTGGGAGGGAACGGCCAGGCCTGAGGGTCTCAGCTCTGCCGCAGCCCAGCCTCGGACTGGATGAGTGGCCAGAAGTCTTCAGAGGCACTGTAGGAAATTTGACAACCCTACTCTAAGGAAACCACCTTGGGAGGGAGTGTTCTATTTTTTCTCCTTTAAAGAAGAGTACAGAGAGACAGGAAAGAGAACTCTTAGGCAGATCAAGGGTGAGTGCTAGTGAACACTAATCATCTCTTCCTTCTCTTAACAACTCACGCTCCTTTCTTCCACCAAAGCGAACGTGGTCTCACAGGCAACCCTGCCAGTGCCCATCTGCGCCAGAGTCGGTCAGCTCCGGCCGGGCTGTGTGGGGCCGGCCAGCCCCTCGTAGTCAGAGCAGGGACTGCTCAGAGGCCTTGGTCCCCACAGGACACCACCATTGCACCACCACACCCACTTCAGCCACGTCGTCCTATTTTGGCTGGGTTTTCAGCTTATTTAGATGAAGGAACGAATGAGTCATCGTCAAAGGTCTTCTGGGATCTGAAACAGGATGAATTCTCCCGGCACATATTTCAACGCAAAGACTTTGTTGCCTGCTGCTGGTCGTCTGGTTTACAGGGATCTTTAGTTTGTCAGGTGTGTTTAGTTGCACGGCTGTAACTGACTGCACGCTGGGCCGGCAGAGGGCGCCCTGGCGCTGGCCCTGCACCCTGCGGCCTGCGCTCCCAGACTCATTTATGAGGTTGGCCTCTGAGCCCTGTGCAACCTTAGGGAGCCCCATGTCGGTTAAAGGAGGAAATGCATTCACACAGAATTTAGCCAGGGCTGGGATGAGCTTGCCGCTGGTGCTCTGTCCCCAGGGCCTCAGGGCGACTCTGCCGGGCCGCTGTCCACTGCAGGCTGTCCCCGTGTCTCCCCTTCGTCCTTCCTGTGCTGCGCGTCAGACATGGAAGGCACAACCTTGCCTCCATGGCGCTGCAGTGCCTGTCTGTCGAGACCCAGTCTTGTCACCATCCTCACACTGTCACAGAACCCCATGATGCATAAGTGGCCTTTCTGAACCAAGACTTTGCAGACTGATCTCTCCCCAGCGAAGGAGTTGAGCACATTAGCAACAATGTACATTATTAGTTTCGGATTTTCATTTTCATGTTTGATTTTGTAAATACTCTGATGTTTGGAGCTTGAGTATACAGAGTGTAAATACAGTTCTTGTATTTGTACCGATTTGGGTTCTTTTGCTGCCTAGCCTTAGATGTGCAACGCGGACATTATCTAACTGTGTATGGTAACCTTGCATCACGGAGTTACTAGTGAACGAGGTAAAAATAATAAAGGTACAACCAGTGCATTCTGGGCTCCTGGTTTGCATGCATCCTGCACCCTTCGAAAAGCAGTTCGTTGCCAGGCATGGTGGTGCACAGCTGTAATCCCAGCATTCCGGAAGCTAAGGCAGGAAGATCTCCGTGAGTTCAAGGCCAGCCTGGGCTACATAGTGAGTTCAAGGCCAGCTGAACCACATACTCTCAACTAAAAAAAAACAAAAAAACAATTCATTACACACTGACTTCTTGACCGGTAACCGGTGCTGTGACCCACATGTCCCTTTCTGCTGCTCAAAACAGCGCCGTTTACATACCCAGGGAAGCGAAGTGGGGCTGTGTGGGAGAGCGCTTCCCTCCAGGCTGTTGGGCCTGGATTTCCCCCAAACCTGTATTGCTGCCGGTGGGGCGGGGGCGGTGCTGGGGGCTGAGGTCTGGTTTGGAGACCCGGCAGTCTGTGTGATGGGGCGCGCCCCCTGGCGGCCAGCCCGCTCCGACAGGAGCAGCGGTGTCCTGGCCCGGTCTGTGCGCCCAGCGCGCCTGCTGTGATGTGCAGTGCCCTCAGTGTCGATGGTAAATGTCGCAGAGGACAGCAAGGCCAGGTGAAGACGGGAACAGGAGACGTCATCCTGACTGGGAGCCAGTGTCCAGCAGGCCCTTGGTCACTGCGGGCCGTGCAGGGAAATGAAGCCTTTGTAACAGCATTGTCCTCAGGGGTCCAGGCACCGACAGCCCGCTGATGTGGGCTCCTTGAGGGACAGCAACAGAGCCATCGGGAGGGAGCTAGGCCGGGGGCTAGGGCTGAGGAGAACAGGGCTCACCGCAGTGACTGGGGAGTCGGAGCAGGTTCAGAGAGGAGGAGCGAGAAGTCTTTCTACTTGGGGGGTCGAGGACAGGAAAGGGGAGGAAAACAGGAGACTCCGCCCCATTGTCCGGGAGGTGGCTGGTAGACCGAGGCAGGCGCAGGGACCAGCTCGGAGGTATGGTCCACATATCCGTGAGGGCCGAGTCATGCAGGGAGGAAGGCAGCTCCCCGGGAGTCCTCGTGTGGAGCCGCCGTGCAGTCGGCGAGACAGATGGAGTCGGGCATCCTCGGCATGGACCGGAGGCTTCCGGCAACCCAGCAGGAGGAAGAGGTGCGGCTGCAGAGACAGCAACACCTGGCTGCCTGGTTAGGGGAGAAAGAGGCTGTGACCGCTGCGTAAGGTGCAGATTCTGGTGACAGGGAGGGTAGGAAGCCTGGGGAGCCAGTGGGTACCACACAGTTTCCCAGGCTCAGACGCCCCTGAGTAAGGAGCACAGCAGATGGGAGGCCTCTCCTGCTGCGGGTCCTGGCACAGAGGGTGCGGCCACACCTGGGCCACAGGCCTGGCTGCCACTGAGCCGAGTCCCTGGCTGCAGGACCGTGGGAGCCTGGATGTGCTCAGTCTCCTGGAAAATGAGCCAGGACGCAGCCTGTCTGATGGCATCCAGGTAACACCAGCCCTGGTGTCATGGTCCACTGTGTGAACAGAGTCAGAGTGGGCTCTGACTGGGGAGTGGCCAGGCCATGGTGACCAGGGCTCCTTCCAGATGCACGAGACGGTCAAACCACAGCACTTCCAGGCCACCACGAGTGAGCGAGCATGACCGTGTGGCCCTGGAAAACCCAGGGCTGGTACACACCCGTGAGCCCTGAACTGGCAACTCAGCAAGACCCAGCCCCAGAATTAAAAACATGAAATTGCGGGGCTCAGTGCCCAGGACCTGGGTTCAACCCCAAAAATGAAGAAAAAGTCTCTCTTCGCTGGACTTGCAGTGTGAACTGGACAGTCACCCTAGGTGGGCTCTTAGAGAGCTGTCTGTGTCCTACGCCTGTGCCTCATTCAGGGTTGCTCTGTCTCACAAAGCTGTCAGCACCTGTCATTGTGTTCCTTTCCTGTTTTTTCTTGACACCCCATCTTTGTTCCTGTGTGGAGGTCTCCCAGGAGCAGGAGCTCCTTGTTCCCGCATAGCACAGCCCTCTGCAGCTATCCACGCAGGTCACCTGCTTTCTCGTCTGCCCTTTGGTTCCATTGCCTCTGGGCTGGTTGGTGGAGACTGGGTCTCACTACTCAGTGCAGGCTGGCCTTGAGCTCCTTATATAGCACAGGCTGGCCTTGAACTTGTGATTTTCCTGCCTCTGCCTCCTGAGTGCTGAGATCACAGGCAAGTGCCATTATACCTGGCCAGGTCTCTGGGGTTTTCAAAATTGTTTTCTCCCTAGCGTGTGATGGAGCCTTTTAAATTCAGTTATAGGAATTACAAGTGAGAGGCAGGGCTGGGCCTTGCAAATCTGCACAGGTGTACTGTGCTCCTTCCATGCCCTCTTAGTAAGCAAACAGGGCTCCGCCCAGGAGTTTGAGTGCAGGGCTGTTTGTGTAGGGTTCAGTTTGTGCACTGGCTTTGGTTTGGGATTTGGGGAGATAGGGCGAGCCAGAAATGTTTGTAATGCATGGTAAGGTGGTAGACTTTCTTAAGCAGCACATGCCAGGCGTTTGTGGATTTTCTAAAAATCACAGGTCAGCGTGAAGCCCTGGCTGTGGCACTGTGTCCCCAGGTGTGTCCCTGGGAGCGCAGACACGGCCCCAGCCCGTCTCTAAGGCCTGTTGCTGTGGTCTCACATCCTTGTTCCGTGGCTTCTGCTGCTTGTTAACACCTCTCCCTAGACAGGGAGGACGTCAGGAAAGGCAGAAGTGGTGCTGCCATAGATCACTGCCCTCGAGGGTTCCCTGTGGCGTGACAGGCGCCTTCTCACTGGGGCGGGAGGAAGCCCAGGGTTTAGTCACATTGACTCAGCACAATTCCTGCCTGGCCAAATCTCAGGCCAGAGCAATCGATGCCTGGCAGGGTTCCTTGTCCTGGAGCTCACGGGAAGTCACTGCCACAAATTGAAAGGTGCACCTGTCACCAAGGGAGACATCATATCAAGTTCTGCAGATAAAATCTCTACAACTGGCATTTGTTCTCCAAAGTGAATCACTAAAGTCAATCTCAATTCAGTGTGCTGCTTGTCCCATGAGGGGACAGTGCTGGGTGTGGGCCGGCAGGGACAGGTCCCCCCCCAGAGCACATCAGAGTGGACACCAGAGAGCAGTGTTCCGGTCCTGGGAGCTGGCACAGGCTTGGCCCAGTCCCGGAAGGAGGCCGAGGGCCTGGGCCGCATCCCTGCTATCCCGACCCGTTGGTCCACTTTGAAGCTTTCCTTGTTCTCTGCTCCTGGCTCTGTGTTTGCTACCAGGCTGGGAGAGAGAGATGCCCGCGGCGGTTTCACACGGCAGGGACCCGCTGCAGTGGGGCCTGTGCCATCAGGCAAGGCCTGCAAACCTGACCCCTCCCTGGAAGACTCAGGGTGGCCTTAGCCACAGGCAGAGGGACAGAGCCGAGGTGAAACAATTAGATGTCACCAGCACTGCAGAAAAGTTAAAAAGAGAGGCATAAGGCTGGCACAGTGGCACATGTCGGTAGTCTGGACTACTAGGGAAGCTGAGGCAGAAGGATCACAAGTTTGAGATCAGCCTGGGCGGCAGTTTAGCAAGACCCTGTCTTAAAAATGAACTTTAAAAAAGGCTAGGGGGACTGGAGGTTTAGCTCAGTGGTGCCACCACCCTGCCTCGCAAGCGCAAGGTCTCGAGTTCGATCCTCAGTACCTAAAAATAAAAATAAATAAAGAGTGACCTAGGCCTGGGCAACGCCAACTGGAATGCAGGAGGCCCCTTTTAGAAACTGAAACCACCAAGCCTGGAGTGGTGGTACACGCCTGCAATCACAACACTCAGGAGGCTGAGGCAGGAGGATCATTGTGAGTTCAAGGCCAGCCTGGGCTGCATAGTAAGACCCTGTCTCCAAAACAAAACAAAAACAGGGCCAGGGATTTAGCTTAGTGGGGCTGCTTCAAAAGTGCAAGGTCCTGAATTCAATCCCCGGTATCCCCCGCAAAAAAAAACCAAACCCCAAAACAAAAAATCTGCAAAAACCAGTCATTCACCAACAACATCCAGTGCCCATCTGCCGTGAAGCACGTGAAAGGTAGCAGCCGTTTATGAACACCCCAGATGCAGGTACTATCCTCTTACACTCAGGGGCCTCAGGAGAGAGATGGAAACAGAAGCAGAGGGTGCCTGAATCCACCTGGGAGACCGGAACAGGGACAGAAGCTCATGGGTTCTGGGAAGGTGGGAATGGGTGCAGGGGCTGGGGCAGCATCTCTGAAAAAAACAACGATAACTGGAAGCAGTGGTGCACACCTATAGTTGCAGCTACTCTCTGGAAGCTGAGGCAGGAGGATCACAAATCAGAGGCCAGTCTGGGCAATTTAACAAGACTTTCAAAATAAAATAAAAAGGGCTGTGGGTGCAGGTCGGTGGTAGAAGGCCGCTGAGTTTGATACCTAGCGTGACAGAGAGAGGGTGGGGATGAGGGAGAGTAAAGCTGCCAGGTACAGTGGTAGGGAGGCTGAGGCAGGAGGGCTGGGAGTTTGAAGCCAGCCTGGGCATCTTAGACCCTGTCTCAGAATGAAAGGCGAGGGGGTGGCTGGAGGTGAATCACTGGCAGAGCACTTGGGTGGCCTGTGCGAGGTCTGGTGTGACGTGCAGGGTCCTGGGTTCCATCCCCAACACTGCAAGAGAAAACAGCCGGGGTGTGGGGAAGGTTAGAGATATTTCTAGGTTTCATGGCTCTTTTGAGGACAGAGTGGCTCTAGTTTCTATGATGAAAAATTGTTTTTTTTTGACACTCTCAGGAGAAAGGTGACAAGAGGACAAGGGTTAGAGCAACCCTGCTTCTGAGGCCCACTGCGTCCCCTGAGCTCAGCGATCCCAAGACACCAAGGTGCTACATTTGGGGTATCGAGCCCTGAGCCCCAACAACAGAAGTGAGCATGTGGATGTCAAATGCTGGGCACAGGTTCTGAGGGGCTTCACTGAACCCTAGAGCTACCGTGAACTCTTGTCATTCCTCCTTTGCAGAAGAGGAACTCAGACTCAGAAGGGGAACTTGGACCCGCGGGGAGGGGAGTAGAGCACTTGCATGCTCCAGGGCTGGGTTCAATTAGCATCAAAACAAAAAGAAACAAAAATAAAAATAAAAACAAAAACATACCCCTGGTTTCACAGCTAGAAAGAAACAATCAGAGCGAGCCAGTCAGTCTGGCTTCCAAACCCCCTCTTTCTGGCTTTGTCAGGCAGTCTCTGATAATTAAATTCCAGACCATCCCAGAAGCCGTAGGATGTGATTTCTAGGATAACAAACGCGCCGCCCCTCGCGCCCCGCCCCCGTGTGGCCGTCCGAGTCCCAGATTTGGTTGACAGGGACCATGGAGAGCACCCAACCTCCCAGAGAAGGTTCTCAAATTAGCCTGTCACTATGGGACCCAGCAAGTCTTCCCGCCCTCCTCAGGACCGCTGCACATTTAAAAGTTAGGGAGGGGCCTAGCACGCCTGCAGTCCCAGCACTCTAAGAGGCTGAGGCAGGAGGATGGCAAGTTTCAATCCAGCCCGGCAATTTAGGGAGACCCTGTCTCAAAATAAAAAATGAAAAGGGCCGGAGATGTAGCTCAGGGCGAAGGCGTTGGGTTCAGTCCCCAGTACAAAATAAATAATAATAAAAACCGAGAGACTGAGCGTAGCTCCATGGTAGAGCACTTGCCTAGCATATGAGAGGGCCTGGGTTCCATTCTCTTCACTGGGACGGGTAATGGACCCATACAGTTTCCATAGTTATACCAAAATTGAGTAGTTTAAAAACTAAAGTGGAAGGGCTGGGGATTTAGCTCACTGGTTCCGGCGCCTGACTCGCAAGCGGCAAGGGCCCGAATTCGATCCCCGGTACAACAAAACAACAACAACGCTAAAGTTGCAAATGTTCCGAGTAACAATTTCATAGAGGGAGAACCCGAATTGCCCCGTCGCAGCTGCGCAAGCGCAAAGGACCACAGAGCACACCGCCTCCACCTTCCAGGGGGCGGTACCGCTCGCCCGCGATGTCATCGATGCGCTCAGAGATCTTCTGATTCGGCCCCGGGAGCGGGCCGTCCCGTTTGCCCTCAGGTGGTGTAACAGGCGCCGGAGAGAACCAATGGCACAGTGTGAGACTCCGCCCCTTCCTTCCGATTGGCGGGCGCTAATGAATGGGGCGGGAAGCGGCTGCTGGCTCGGGAGGCCAGCGGTAGCCTACCGCACGCTCCGCACTCTCGCTCGCTGAGCTTCCGCTCTCGTCCTGCCT